GTGCTTTATAATTTGCTGGCCTGATTTGGCCTTGAGCTGTTCCACAATTACATCGCAGTCTCTCTTCATCCTCCCCCTTTGGCAGCAGGAGGTTGTGTGATGCTGTGGCAACCATTAAGTGGTAGTTTTATTTGCTTTCTTTTGGACAGGGATGTTTCTCTAGCGGTGTGTCTCTGTCTCAGCGGCCACTGTTTCGGTGTGTTCGTGTGTGCTCTGGAGACGAAGTGATTATATGATAACACTGAAGTCACCCTCTTGTAATTATGCACAGGCCCTGAATAGCCTAGGCTGCTTATTTGATTTACTCCACAGTGGAACATATTACTGGTGCTTCTCATGGGTTCATATTCGACTCATATCAGGCACTGTTTCCCTGCATGTTGCATCTGGCAGTATTTGCATGATGATTGTGTTAAGCAAACAAATGGCAATAACAAACAACACAATTAGTTACTCTCTAATTCCTGAAAAAGTAGGTATAATGTGGATGAAACAATGCTTGATGCTATTATCAGTGTTGGGATGTAATGGGATACAAGTATTCAGAATATGTATTCAGGATACATACATTAAGTATCTGTATTTAGTCCAAGTTACATTTTGTAGTATTTAGAATACACAGTCAACTTTTATTTTTTTAGATGAATACCTATAAAACACAAATTTTTTAAAATATACATACTATCTTTTTAACAAAACATCAGCAACACTTGTTTATTAACTAAATTAGCACGACATGTAAAGATGTACTCTAAAGAAGAACTGAAGAAAAATGGCAGTAGACATATAAATGAGTAGACATATACATAAATGTGATGATCCATCATTAATCTCAGGATTACTGAGGTCTGTTAAAGCCTGAGTAGACTAATAAATTAATGTAGTTCACTATATGGACAAAAATATTGGGACACCCCTCCTAAATCTTGAGTTCAGGTGTTTCAGATGCACCCATTGCTAACAGGTGGTTCAAATTAAGCACACAGCCTTGCAGTGTTGATATACAAACACTGGCAGTAGAATGACTCATTGATGAGCTCAGTGACTTTAAACATGGCACTGTCACAGGAGGCCACCTCTGCCACAAGTCAGTTTGTGAAATTTCTGTCCTGCTAGATCTGCCCGTCAACTGTAAGTGCTTTTATTTTGAAATGGAAGAACGTAGGATAAACAACAGCTTAGCCACAAAGCGGTAGACCAGACAAACTCACAGAGTGGGGCTGCTGAATGCCAAAGCGCACAGTGCCTGTCCTCTGTTGAATCACTCACTGAAGAGTTCCAAATTGCAAAAGAACTGCACATTAGGAGCTTCACGAAATGGGTTTCCATGGCTGAGCAGCTGCACACAAACCTAAGATCATAATGTACAAAGCCAAGTGGTGTAAGGAGTGGTGTAAAGTGCCGCCACTGGACTCTGGAGCAGTGAAAACATATTTTGTGGTGTGACGAATCACACGTCTCTATCTGGCAGTCTGATGGACGACTCTGGGTTTGGCGAATGCCAGGAAAACGCTACCCACCTGACTGCATTGTGCCAACTGTAAAGTTTGGTGGAGGAGGGATAATGATATGGGGTTGTTTTTTAGTGGCCAAGGCCCCTTAGTTCCAGTGAAGGGAAGTCTTAATGCTTCAGCAGACCAACACATTTTGAGCATTGTAAGCTTCCAACTTTGTGGGAACAGTTTGGGGAAGAACTTTTTCTGTTCCAGCATGACTCTGACCCAGTGCACATAGCAAGGTCCATAAAGGCATGACTGGGTGAGTTTAGTGTGGAAGAACCTGACTGGCCTACACAGATCCCTGACCTCAGCCCCATCGAACACCTCGGGGATGAAGTTACATCCGAGTCTTTCACTGAAAATCACCCACTGTAGAGTCAAATTTGCATGATTTTTTATTGGGACATAATGAATTGTTTGCTTAATTTATAATATAGGATTATAGGATAATATAGGATTACAGGAGCAGCAGTGGACTGAAGCAGGCAAAGAGAGCCAAAACAATGTTCCAAAGTTTGTGACTTAATTTCATGAAGTGAGATGAAACCGCAGGATTTTTCCCCATGTGCCTTATCAATATGTATTATAAATGTATTCTGAATATGTTACTTTTTATGTAGTGTGATGAAATACATTACTGAATACATTTAGAACAGCATGTTCCGTATTCAGCCATCACTACTTTTTCAAACTATTCTGCCCAAAACTGGCTATTATACGGTTACCTAACCAACCTGAAGTCATCTATAGGCCTAGCAGGAAAAAAATAATTGTAGACCAGCATCAATGAACATGCCACATGTGATTTCTTCAGCGTCTGTTGCTTATAATTCTCCCAAAAATATATCTGACCACATCCCCTATGTGAACAAACAGGCTGGAAGCCATTGCAGTCCTTTTTTAAAACCTATTGCTTATGTTGTTCATGAGGAGCTACAGGTGAGTGGATGGAGGGAATGCAGTAGGGTGTGGGTGACCCCTAGTGGAGAAAGCTGAATATCTTTTTAAGGGATCAATCATACTAGACAGGAAAATAAGAAACTAAAAGGGCCACCCACTGAGTTTGTAAAATCAGTATGGCAGCAATTAGCGTGTTTGTAACATTAGCATTTGTCTCCATTCAAGTAATAATGCACTGGAAAGCTATATACATACTTACAGTACTGTGCAAAAGTCAGAGACCACCCTTCACTCATTTAATATCCAGTCCAAATGGTAATTAAGTACAAGTTGTTTTATTTTAATGGTCTATTTTTGAGGAGATTATAAAATAATCAACTTGCACAAGGAAAAGGAAAGTCAAAGAAAAATAAGTTAAATAAAAAAGGAGTTTCCAAAACTGGAAATATATTCAAAGCTACAGAGAAAATGGGACTCCTGACAACCTTGCAAGACCTGGTAGACACCAAAAGTGTCACCATCAGATAAACAGGACTTAAAGCTTTCATCTTTGAGAGAGAGGAAAAAATCAAGCTGCTTCAGATCTGAAAACATCCACAGGAGTTTCTGTCCATCCTTCCACTGTGAAGACGACTCAGCGCTATGAGTCTGAAAGGATGTGTAGCTGTCAAGAAGAACCTCACTGAGAAAAGGAGACACACAAATTTCACAGACCTCAGTATCACTGAATGACTTAGGGATTACTTTGACTATCAGAGGCAGAAAATGCAACCAAGTCCTAAGACTGAACTTCAGAGGTGTGGAAAAATATCCCTGCAGATTTCAGAAAACTGACAGCAAAATAATAACAAAATAACAAAGTTAAACTCAGGTTTGATTTATTAGTCATTGGTCTACTTACATCATTTCTCAGGTAATCCTACTATTCAGTTTTACCTTTGTGCTTCAGTGTAAATAATCTTGAGGATACAGTACAGTGTTGTCTTACAAAATCATTAAAATCACAGAGCAAACAAACAAAATGCAATCATTAATAATGAAGGATGAGCACCTTAACAAAACAAAAACAAAAAGTAAAAAACTGGAATCTGTTTTGACCACGATGATGAAGATCAAGTGCCTTTGAGAAGAAGTAAACTCAGTTTTTAGCACCAGTGGAAACAGTGACTGACCTCCACATTGCCAACATAATGGTCTGGCAGAAGTATAAAGTGGCAAAGCATGCAGAAAATACAATAATGTATTAACCATACAAATTCCACTCTACTCACACAAGCACCATGGGGAAAATCTGGAAAAAGTGGTTTAACCAGTCATGTTGAGGCTGAAGGATCATCAAAGATCATGAGACTTAACATCGGCCAAACTGGAGTTAAGGTTTAAGGTTAAGAACAGTGTTATTTATGTATGTCACACTGTCAACTATACCAGAAACAAATAATCAATTGAATGCATTTTGCATTCATTTCAGTTTCTTTGTAATTTTGTAATAAAGTAGAAATTATTATACAGAGCTTTAACTACTTAAATCTTTGTCAGTGTAATAAAACTAGCATTAAAAATGTTGAATAAATATTTAAAGACTGGAATGGAGGGGGAAAAGATTCCTACTCTTTTGCACACTTTTGCATTGAAATCAGAGAATTTACACCTGAAAGACAGAAAAGTGCTACTGTGCAGGCATTAAGAGTGGTAGACTCCAGAGTAACTACCCTACTGTAAAACACAATGACTAGTCCAAATGACTTAAACACTGAAATTTAAAAAACACAGCACACAAAAACACACATTTAGGAAAGACTGAAATTGTAGCACCTTTAAAGGTTTGTCCAGCTCTTTACCAGACAGACAAAGCACCTTCACCTTAGATCATATAGATCGAGGAGCTTTTCCCCTTATAGGGGCAAAGCAGTGACATAGTTGTCTGAGGCTGCTGTAATGTATTAGCACCCAGGGCCTGCAATACTGCCATCCTCCTGACTGAACGCATTTTAATGTATTGATCTGATGCCTTGGCCTTTGGCTTTGTGTAAAGAAAGGTGTCATGAGTAGAAAACAAGTTTCAGTCCATATGTTAAGGGGTGGTAAACTTTTTCTATACATTTAGGAAAAAGGGATGTTTGTACACATTACAAGTTAACCCTCTACTGCAAGCATTAAGAGAGCAATTTAAAAATATATTCAATTCACTTTTCTTGCATAAATTGGTCCTTGATTTTTTTTTTTCAGAACCAATTATTCAATTTCAAAACACTAAAAAAATGTGTGCAGGGGCCCTTTTGGGTATGTTCTCTTGAGGCAACATTGTGCAACAAAGGGAAGAAATGATACAGAGCCATGTTCCCTGAAGTGGTGAGACCTGGCTTGTCACTGGCTAAATCCATTCTACTGTCGCACAGCGTTGCTTCTAGGCAACAAACATATTTCTGCAAATTCTCATAATAAAAAAATTGATACTAAATGTTTAAAAAGAGGTTTAAACGTGCTCACTAAGAGATAGTGGGACCACGTACATGCTTTTCATTGACTCACTCAAACTCCTCCCTTTATTACTAATGTATAATGTATAATGTGACTGTAAAGTGAGGAAAATGAGTTTGTTGCCCTGAGGCAACATCAAGCAGTGGAGAGTTAACAAGTTATTTGTAAAATTTGCTATTCGCTCTAAAACAAATGAAGAAGACACAAGATTATTATTAGTGGTAATGATGATTTTGTTGAAAAGCTAGAGTTTTTAGAATTATAGCTATAGTTGACAGGATGAATTTCAAAGGCCAAATTTATAGTCGACTGGTTGAGAGACGTCCAGGGGACGGACTCCGACTACGACTGGACATCTGAGAGAGAGAGAGGGAGTGAGAGAGAGAGAGAGAGAGAGAGAGAGAGAGAGAGGGAGAGAGAGAGAGAGAGAGAGAGAGAGAATGAGAGACAGAGGGCTATCTAAATAATCAGTAATACACTGAAGTATAGCTCTGTACTCACCCTCAGACCAAGAAAGCATGTGCAAAAGGAATATAAAACATGACTTTCAAACAAACATGCATCTTAACAAAATGCACTAAAATCCAGCTTTCCAGAAAAGAGCGTGAATGCACCATCGACTGTGATTGGCAGAATTACTGGTGGGTCATCAGTCATCACAGAAACTTACAAGTGTGCGGGTGGGGCTTCCTGAGCGAGAGCGGACTGGACTGGAGCTGCGGCTTCTGCTTCTCCACTAAAGCACACGGAGCATAAAACTACCGTTAAATGACACTGACTGGCCACTTTATTTGAAACACAGACATTAATACTTCCATTCACTGTTCACTTTATGAGCTCTAACTATCTCATAGATCCATTAAACAGGTATACAGTTATACATGGCAGCACATCTGTTTTCATCTATGATTTGTCCTCAGTTCATCATTTGATCCACAATTCATTATTGGTCAGTTTATCTGTTGACCAGATTAGGATGGTGGATCGTTCTCAGCACAGTGACATGGCAATGTGTGTGACGCTGGTACGAGTGTATCAGGCACAGTGATGTAATTGTGTTTTTTACACACGTCAGTTTCACTGCTGGGCTTAGAGTAGTAAATCACCCAAAAATATCCAGCTAAAATGAGTTCTGTGGTCAGCTGAATACAGAAGAGTGTTCAACTGGCCATTGACGAAAGGTTCGAGAGGTGCAGTGTCTAACAGCAAAGTGGATCTACAAGGCATGTGGCCAAAGTTTATAAACACTAACATGCAACTGTGTGAAAAAGTCAGTTCAAATGACATGTTTTGTTGATGTTCTAAGTGAAAATAAGTTAACACATCCTCTACAGGGAACACACTTAAATATGGCATTTTCTGCCATAATAAAGAGCAATTGCGCATTCAAATGTGCAGAAGTGTGTTTTCTGTAGAGGATATGTTCATTTATTTTCACAAAATCAACAAAACATAATTTGACCGGGGGCACCCAAATTTATGCACACGACTGTACAAAGCACAATAAAATTTTACCACTAAACCAAAGAGTAACACACAGAGCACAGAAGTGTGAAATAAGCACTAAATGTACATCTGGACTGGATAATTACAAGTCGTTCATCAGCCTAAGGCTACTCCAGTGAACATACCAGTGCCCCTCTCCTGGTGACAGCCTCTCCCTTCACTATCACACTGTCTCCCTCCATCAGTGCAGGCCACACATGATACACCACCAGCGGAGCAGTGAACTCCGAGTCATAACTCCGCCTGTACCTGAGAGAAAAACAGAGGTGGACAAAATGAGCTTTAGAATGCTTTTGTGAATATGGAATATCATCACTGTCACAATTGTGACTATTTTCTCTGATAAAAATTACGATAACCATCGTATTATCTTATTTTAATTTAATTTCAAGGTATTACGGTCCTTTTCTTCATACCAAGCATAAAAAAAATCTCTGATAGTATGCTAATGTCTCTAATAGTATGTTAATGTCTTAAATGGTCCAGCAGTTCTGATGCCTGAAGCACCAGAATGTAACTACTGCTCCATTTAAGGTGGAACTGGAAAATTCAAACATCAAGCTGGCTAATAACATATCATCAAAGAATTAGGGGTGGGCAATAATAAATCCCCCCGATGGGTGAAAATAACGCCCCCCCCCAGACCAGCAGTGAGGTTGCAGAACTTTACCCTCCTCTGCTTTCATTGAAGATGGGTCGCCTATAGAGCACCGCTAGTAGCTGTTAATGAAGTAATGTTCTTCTTTATTTGAGGGTCCCATTTCACAGGGGAAGATTTCAACGTCTACCTGTTGTAACTCAGTTCCAAGGGGCAAGGTGACACTCGAAAACAGGGGGTAATGTGTGTTACTGTTATGAAATTTTGAACCATTTCTGTTGGTGCATTCTTCATGAATTGTTCACACAGTGCAAAGTGCAGCTACCATAATTCAAATAGATGATTCAAATGTATCTCTAATGTTAGTTTAGTCCAAAAGAAACTGTTAGTGCGTGATAAGAGTTCAGCTTTTAATTTCGTGTTTTTGTCTCTCACCCAAGTCTCTTTCATCCTGCCTCTAGAGGTCACTATTGCTAAGAAATTCTGTGGTTGACTTTGCTCACCTACTTCTGTTTGTTTACTGATTGTCTAGTCCAGGGGTGTCCAATCCTATCCGTAAAGGGCCGGTGTGGCTGCAGGTTTTCTTTCCAGAAAACTGGAGCCCACCTGTTTCCACTTGTTTAATTAGTTAGTCTTCAATGACTGATCATGTGTTCTCCTGCTTTGCTGGAATGAAAACCCACAGCCCCTCTGGCCCCACCGTGGATAAGATTAGACACCCCTAGACTAGTCTATGGCTATGTCCAAAACTATGCCCTATTCTCAGTGTGCTATTTTAAATGCCTGCCATTACATAGTGGTGTCTGAAATGTATCCAGTGCATGTACTCAAGTGGACATGGAATGCCCATAATGCACTCTGTTGTGTGCAATGGAATGTGGCTACTGTTGCAGAGACACTGGTGGTGTACAAAATCATTAACTTAAACCATGAATTCTGTTCCCTAAAATCATTTTCTATGTAGTGCCTCTAATTTTCCAGTGCAGAGAAATGTAATTAGGGGACCAATTTGAACATAGCATATCGCTGCTGTCGGAACAAAACATCATATCCTCATTTTTGTCGCTTTTCAGTTTTTGACATAATTTAAAAATGCCTGTTGACCTTGACATTGAGTATAAATTTCAAAATAAATGCAAAGAAAGAAACGGCCCAAAATGACTTGCAAAAAAGTCTGGTTCCACTGACTTACATTAAAAGTAAAGTATGTTTTTTCCTTCTCCTGTAAAGTTACCATTTTGGAGAAACAAGGTTTTGTTCTGACAGCAGTGATATATTGTCTGACATTCAATTTAAAAAGTCTTATGAGATATTTATGAGCTGTGTTTACTTTCTATTGTCTGGCTTACACCGATCAGGCATAACATTATGACCACCTCCTTGTTTCTACGCTCATTGTCCATTTTATCAGTTCAACTTACCATATAGGTGCACTTTGTAGTTCTACAATTACAGACTGTAGTCCATCTGTTTCTCTGCATACTTTGCTAGCCCCCTTTTACCCTGTTCTTCAATGGTCAGGACCCCCATTGACCCTCACAGAGTAGGCACTATTTGGGCAGTGGATCGTTCTCAGCACTGCAGTAACACTGATGTGGTGGTGGTGTGTTAGTGTGTGTTGCGCTGGTCTGAGTGGATCAGACACAGCAGTGCTGCTGGAGTTTTTAAACACCTCAGTGTCACTGCTGGACTGAGAATAGTCCACCAACCAAAAATATCCAGCCAACAGCATCCTGTGACCACTGATGAAGGACTACAGGATGATTAGCTCATACTGTACAGCAAGAGATGAGCTATCGTCTCTGACTTTACATCTACAAGGTGGACTGACAAGGTAGGAATGTCTAATAGAGTGGACAGTGACTGGACACAGTGTTTAAAAACTCCAGCAGCACTGCTGTGTCTGATCCACTCAGACCAGCGCAACACACACTAACAGACAACCAACACTGTCAGTGTTACTGCAGTGCTGAGAATGACTCGCCACCCAAATAGTACCTGCTCTGTGAGGGTCCATGGGGGTCCTGACCACTGAAGAACAGGGTAAAAGCGGGCTAACAAAGTATGCAGAGAAACAGATGGACTACAGTCTGTAACTGTAGAACTACAAAGTGCACCTATATAGTAAGTGGAGCTGATAAAGTGGACAATGAGCGTAGAAACAAGGAGGTGGTCATAAAGACATGCCTGATCGGTGTATTTTGACCTTGGTCTGTCATATGGTTCCGATATCTGTTAGTGTTTATATGTGTTTTTGTGTGTTTACACTGTGTGAAACAACTCTGCATTTGGATCTGTTCAGAACCTTTAATCTTACAGCTTGACAGCGTGTTTGTATGCAAAAACATGTAAGAATGTGTATCCACTCACTTAACGTCACTGTAGAGCTCCCCATCTGAGCTGAAGGCGAGGTCTAGAGGGGGATCCAGAGTCTGCATAGCAAAAGCGATTCTACACATCTCTCTGATGAAGCTGCTGATGAGCACAAAGTCCACTTCCGGAGGGAAGGAGATACGCGGGTTCACATTCATTGAGTTGATGACGTCCTGTAATAAGACAAAATCAGCAAAAAATACTGACTATATTAACTGACTTCCAACCTACGTATTCTCCGGTTTGAAGACATAAAGTGGTTTTATGAACATTCAAGTGATCATTGTATTTAATTGTTTATTTTATTTGTTTATTTAATATTCACAATACCTATTAAGCAACATCATTATTTCATAATGTAAATGTGCCAGATTTAGCCAGATGGCTTATTTTCATTTGCAGTTGTCTGCAAAAGTTTGGAATCGGTTGTCATATTAACAATTGCAGTTTAATTTAGTAACATTTTATACAATGAAGACTGAATTACAATAAGCTAGACCCCAGATTGTATTATCAGATGGTTTGATTCAGTTGTTCAATTTTCGATATTTCAATTTTTAGGAATACCACCCTCTTATTAAATTAATACATTGTTTTTATCTATTTATAGTAAATTTATTCAAGTTATCTACCACAATTTGATCACCACTTTTCAAACAGAAAACACTGGGGACGTTGTAAATTTCACACTCAACGATTTACAGCTATATTTTACTTTTTGCAGCTATATTATTATTATAGAATCATCTACAGCTTTGTTTGTCATTCTAGACACTAAAATCTAAACTTTCTTCTTTTTTCACATCAATGTAAGGCTGTAAAGTAATAGCATCATAATAGAATAATTTATACTCGTACCTTCAATGAATTGTTTTAATATTATTACAACAGTGCAAACTATTGATCGGTGACTGCAACTAATTTAGCAGTACTGTAAGATTTTCATCTGGTTGTTTTTCATCTAAATGTAAATGGGGTCTTAAACTTTCTGTCTTTCTATGCAGAATTTCCACATAATGAGCACTGTGACTAGTATGAGTGAGTTAATGTTTATAATAATATGGTAGTTAAAATTTTTACAGATGAGGGTGGGGTTTGTTGTCCTTTTATCTGTTTTGTTTAAGCAGCTGGTGAATTTATTGTCCTTCTAAAGTGGCTGTTGCCCCTGACTTGCACCTACACTTGACAATGCAAATAATGATAATAAAAAAGTGTCATCATTTATGAGTGTTCTTTGCAGCACAGTGATGTGGACTGCTATGGACAGTAATAAACATTTTTAAAAAGTCAAGTATGGTTCATCGCAATTCATGGATGGATCCATAATCACAACTACACCGACAGATGGAGCACATCTTTCTCTAACAAGCCTTACAACACAGTCATATGCAAAGGTTTGAACACCCCCAGTTAAAGTATATGTTGATCTTCTAATTGAAAGTAAGGAAACACATTCTCTACAGGAAACTTAAATATGGCATTTTAGAGCACAATTTATTTGCTGAGTTTAACATATTAGAAGAGAAGTACACTTAAATCATGAAATGTGCCATAACATTTTTACCAGCCACATTTTTTGTTTTATTTTTCCAATATGTGCCCAAAGTTTGAGTACCCAAACTTTTGCATATGACTGTATATGTAAAAAAAAAAACAAAAAAAAACAAAACAAAACTTTATATTTAAGTTGCAAAGGCCAACGTAGAGAACATACATTGACACTTGTCTGGACGTCATAGAGGTCAAGGTTTCGAACAATGTAATCCACTACTGCGTCCTCAAGGCTCTCAGGACCCACATGTGTAGGGGAGAGAGTCTTCCTCACACGCAGCTTAAATTGCCGATAGGCCAGTTTGGCAGCCTGGAGCGATTCCTGTTTGACACATTAGAATTTAATATAAAAGGGTTTTCATTTTCATATGTGCAACAGTGCATCATAACACAGTATAGTAAAAAGAATAAAAGAGGAAACAAGTGGATCTGGCACACTAATCTGGACCATTCTACCAAATTAGCTCAAACTGTGGTCCCAAAGTAAAAAAAAAATAAAATCAATTCAGTATTCAGACATTAGATATTTACAAGGATGATGTTAAGGCATTAACTGTGATAGTAATAAGCTAAATATATATAAAGTCATTTTTTATAGGGCACTTTCTATTGGTTGTGTCTGTCCCAAACCCAAACCCCTTAAATCTCAATTTGTGAAAATAATACTTATATTTTTGTATGTTGTTTATTTTGAAGAACCTTTGGTTTCTTTTAAAGTCAAGTTGAAAGATTTAGATTTATCACGTGTTTAATTTTTTAATTAAAAAAAACTTTATTGAAGCTGCACTATGTAAGATTTGGGGATTGGGAGACCTCTCAGGGGGAAATATGAAATTGCATGCATTTTGCATTTTGTAACAGAGGTCATGCCTCAGACCCCCACTAGCAGATGACTCTGATGTTTGTGTGTGCATTGAAAGAGTGTTTTAGCCATGCCCCTGTATTGAAGAGATCCTACTGTTTTCAGGTAAATGTGTCCCAAAGTCTGAAAATCAGTGTGGAACATTAAGAATAGTCACTACCTAAGCATGTTTTATATGCAGTTAAGTAAACCCTTTTGTATTTTAAAGAAAAATATGATTTTATGTTTGTTTACCTGTTCACAGCTATGTTTGCTAGTCATGGCTTGAGTTGTGCCCAAAATTAGCTAAAATTGTCACAACGAAAACCGTCACTACTGAAACATTTGGTAAAGTTTTGGTAGTGTTATGATTGTTTCATTAGTGACAAAACAGAATGGCCGATGGTTTGTTTAATAAAATAAACATAATTAAGGTACAGGGTCGTTCACAGCAAAAGGATTAAAGTCTAAATTACCCATAAAGCCCTAGTAGTTGGTGTAAGCTTTGCTAAGGGCTTCATACCACAGCGGCGATGAAGATGATCCTCTGCACTGTCTCCAAGTTATCAATGTAGCGGCGCAGCAGGCTCTGGGCCTCTAGCCTCTCAGTGGCATATAGGTCAGAAAAGCGAGACACGAGGCGAGCGTGGCGGGACGAGTTGGTTAGTTGGGCTCGAGTGGGAGACTCGCTCCTCACAGGGCTGCTGGTGCGACTCCTCCGTGGCGGGAGAGGACTGGGGGAACGACTTCTCACCAGCCTTCAGAGACAGACAGAAGATCATCAAATACTGCCCTGACCAGGTTAGTCATCTGAGCTGAGATGTTTTTTAGTATTGTGACCAATTGAATAATGATTAAATGAATAGTTCAGAAAACATCAAATTTTAAATTTTCCTCTTATGCAAAACGTAGTCGATCAGGCAAGACATGTTCGGTGCCTGAAGTTTACTTCTTTAGTCTTGCACTGGGGCTATGAGGCAAATGTAGCTAACAAGAAATGAACAATTATATCTCACAGTTAGTATTGTGTAAACTGCATGCCTAAATCCTGACACACTCCCTTAAAACTGCGCTGAGTTGTTAAGTAATCTCAAATAGACTTTATTATGTGGACAAAATTAAATGGAAAGAAAAATCAAGAGATCTCCTTAATATCTCTTGGATGATAAATCTCTCCCGTTTATCATCCAAGACTAAAAGCCTTCTCAGTTTTGATGTTGTGAGTAACTATTGTATTTTTTATCTGGGCCAGATGTCTAATGCAATTTTCCTTAGGAATTTTAAGCAAATCACCATGAAGTCTCATTTGATCACTAAAATTGTCAGCTGGACAGCTATGTGACACACATTTGTCCATTTTTATACATAAGAATATGTAATACAGTATCAGACACCATGAGGTTACTTAACAACCCAACCCGGTTTGATGCAAGTGTGATAATTTAGACATGTATGTTGTGTAATAGCAAATATTTTGGTATAAGCTTACATTACTAGCTAGCTACATTCTGGCTCCACTGCAAAACTAACGAAGTAAACTTCAGACACCAAACATTGGGCCTTATTCACCAATATCTTCCCAGGTTTTTCGTAAATGTGTTCTTGAGAAAGGTCCTGAGAAAACGTCTACTTCAAATTCATGATGTGTTCTTAAAGCGCAGAACTGATCTCACTTTTGTGCTCGAGTGTGTGTAGATTCTGTTCTTACCTGAGAACAAATCCCCAATAAGAAAACACTGGTGACTGTCAGAATCTTTGTGAAAAGTGCATAAGTGGGTTTTAAGAAGAAATTTATTTTTAAGAACGGTTGGTGAATGAGGCCCATTGACTGTACTGACTATGTTTGGGGTAAGCGGTTTCCCAAACTGTTCCTTTAAGGTTAGAACTGCACTGTATAGAGTGCTAGATCTCCACGAACAGGGATGGGCACCTTGTTATAATACGTGTGTGTGTGTGTGTGTGTGTAACTCACCTTTCCTGTAGCATGGTTTTCTCCGCAGTGAGAAAGGTGACCTCATCTCTCAGTAACCTGACCTGCCTCTCGTAGTCCTCCAGCACATCCAGCTTCCTTTTATACACATCCATCTGCTCATAGGCCGCCCGCAACCTGCACCAACACACGTTCCTTTAAACAAGCTTCTCAGCTCCGGCAATGTGAGGCCTGGGAAGTGTCATTTCTAATTCTCAGATCTGCAAAAGGCATGAAACTCACTCTGCTTTGAGGTGCAGTATCTCATCTTCGGTGGCAAGAAGGGTAGTTGCTGATTTGTTTTTGGTAGAGTCCAGTTCACTCTTAGCATCAGCTAGCCTGGGAACACATCAGTAGCAAATGCTTAGAAAACTGTATGCTTGCATATACAGTAACCCCCACAAGTATTTGGACACTTTACCTATTAAACCACTGATACACTTTAATGAAGCCTGAAGAAGAACTCTAACCAGACTACACTAAGAGTTCTATGAAGCACAGAGACTACTAAATAAATAAATTCCATATATATATATATATATATATATATATATACACACACATGTATTTTTTATACGTTTACTAACACAATGACCTTGATACATTTTTAAGTATGGCACAAATGTCCAAATATGTCCTGTATTGCCTCTGTATTGCAGTCTAACACTGACCAACATTTCTTGGTCAGTACTGACAGATGAAGTGTGGCTCTGTGTGTTTGTAACCAAACTGGTACTGACTCCTGTTTGACAGAATCCAGCTGTATACGCGTGGAGCACAGCTGGTCCTCTATCTTCTGCATGTCGCTCTCATGAGACAATGACAGCTCTCGGATCTTCCGCTCCTTCTCCACGTTGTCCTAAACAACACACCAGCACAACAAAACCATGATTTTATCCAGCCGGTGATGTCAGTTAACACTGAGCATCAAAAGCTAGTTGCAATTCTGAGTTTTAGTGAACCTTCTAAGGTCTAACACAAACAGCAGGAGTTATAAATCTACAATGACCTCAAGATGTTTGATTCAACATGATTATTTTGGTATATTTCAGAATTATTTTCAAAAATACACTCAATACAAAATGTTTCTATAAACAGTTTATAGAGGAATGAAATACAGACAACAGAACATTCAGAGTTCATTTATTTTCAAGAAGTGACATATTTCAATAAAACCCAGCCAACATAATATCATACAATTCAATTAAAAATGAATGCATGCTTTAAAGAATATTTTTTATGACGGTTCAAAAACGATTCAACAAAATATATTTTGGATATTTAAGAAGTGAAGTGACCTGAATGAGGTTGAGACTAGTGTCTGGGGAGACAGAGGAGGTTGCCATGGTGAAGCAGGTACCCAGCCATGGCAACAGGCGAGATTTAAGGGTGTCCACTCCAGCATAGTGACCACCTGGGGTAGAGAAGAATCTCAAAGCCAGACAGCCAAAACAAAACATGTCTGTAGATCACTACAAGAGTTGAACAAAAGGTGAGTAAGATATACATTCTCTAGCCACCACTAGTAAAAAGGAGGAGGAGTGATTGAAGAAGAGAGTAAAACATGAATGAGGCCAAAAAAAAAAGAACACAGCCTCAGGACTTGCTTCTCATAGAAATGGAAAGCTAAGGACATTCTACATAGTTTTAGGCCTAAATGAGAGGAGAGATAGAGGAGGTGAAATGAGAAAGAGAAGATGAAAGATAAAAATAGGTAGAAGGGGTTGAGTAGGAGGAAGGAGGACAGATAACCCATTATGGTGGCAGAAAGAATGCGTTATATGTGGATTTGTACCTTCTTGTGCGGTGAGGTTGAGAATAGTGAACAGCTGCCCTTGGATTTTAGAGGTGAGCTCCACCAGCTCGCAGCAGCGGTTCAGGTTCTGGTCACATGAGATGACCTGCAGTCACATGAGATCACCAATATGAACCAGAGTGCATCTGAGATGTTTTCCACCTTTCAGTCAGTTAAGTTCATCAGAGGCTACAGTTGTACTTAAGACCAGTCTTGGGGTTTTTGTATTTTTTTTCCCCTGACTGTCAACAACATGCACTAACTTTTACTAAGGCATCGTAAAAGCTGATCACTGCCCTTGCTTGTGTTTGATTTATCCAATTCGCATTGCCATTGGATGGATTTATTCAGAGCAGGCACCAAACGCCAAGGAACTCTGGCCACTAATGCACTATTGTTTTCTGAAAAACTGAGAAATTTCCCACATCTGAATAAATTTAGTGATGGACTGTTGGAGCCATATTCTAAACTTTTGATCCATACTACATTTGCAAGTAGAAGAGAAGACATCATACCATTTGAATTTGATAAATATTTATTGTCGTGAAACCAGGTTTATTTAAAAAACCCATCCTTTACATTTTTGTCACATGCTTGTGTCAATTCCTGACCTTGAAACAAATGGGGGAAAAAGGCAAATATGCAGACAACTTAAACAACTTAAGGCTTGGCCTTAAACAGGACTTGATATGCTTGGGTCTTGATCTTGACTCTGTCTTGCTTTCATTTAAACTCAGCCTTGACCCAGTCTTGAAACTTGACCCAGATAGCAAGAGGACAGTGGGCCACTGTTGGCCCACTGATGACAAAGCTGGTGGCCCACAGGCTTTTTGCTCACCATTTTCCAGGCAGCCCACTGGTGGTAAAGCAGAGTATTAGACAAAATGCCACTTTTCATTCCTCATTTTGCTCACAGTCCAGTTTACTTATTTTTCCTTCATTTCTTTCTTCCTAATCCTTTGTAAATAGTTCAGGAAATCATTTTAAAAGTAAAATCATAAATAAAGCTGATTAGACAGCTGTAACCAATCTCAACAAAAAAATCAGTTTCAATTAGGCCTAGTCATTTAATTTTTTCTGAATTGTTTATAATAATTGTCTTAGTTTTTTCCCCAAAATAAAAAGCTATGTGCACTCAAAATCTATTAAAAGCTAGTTAAACTTGCATGGTCCAAGGGTGGACCAGCAGTGGCCTACAGTCAGTGGGCTGCCAACCTCTTCAAGCTACCAGACCAATATATGCTTACTATCTGGAGCACAGTCTGGAATTTTTTATACTCAACAAAGGTGGTCTTGATGACCACCTCACTGACCCACAAGTAGGGAAAAGTGGCACAGTTCCCAAATTAGCCATGCTTGCCTATCATGCCCTGTTTTAGCCTGCTCCACTGTAGGCTCTTGGCTGTCTTTAGTGGGACTGTGGACACAGCAGGCAGTGATTTTATGGCTGCAGCCTCATTCTGACTTCATTACTAGGCCAGTGGGGCGCGAGCACGTTCGGTCTGACGCCACAAGGAAGCTCAGGAATGGCTCCACCGTTGTCCTGGCAACTGGCGTCCATAGTAACCAAACTCTGCCGCGGAATCTTTGCAGCGAAAACAAACATTCCGTTGAACTCTGGGCTTTCTGGCCAACTACGGTTAAACTACTCTCTAACTGCTGTTATTCACTCTGTTCGAACTACAACCGTGGAAACATTGTCTATTATTAATTATTACTGAATTACCTAGATAATCAGTAAATTTACTTAGGATAAATAAATAATCTAAACGATATACTTCATAAAGCAGAATCTCTCAGTCAGCCACATAATTCAAGCTAACAGTCCACTGTCCAATACCAGTATAAAATGGACAACTCTCGCTCTCACTTTAGTGTGATTTATCCTGCTTACTGAGAGCTCCTGCTTTATGAAACGCCCCAGTTGTGTCATGTAACAGAAATCACCGTCCAAACCCCGTTAACGGTAGGCGAAGAGTTAAGCCTGCACGTGGTGAACTAACCTAGCTACTACAGCCACTGCGCCTCTGCAGCGTGGAGATTCCAGCCGTGGGTGGAAGAGGCCACGGGGCTCCACCAGCCGTGAATTACGGGGGACTTACATGATAGTCTTTGTACCAGGCCTCCAGTTTTTGCTGCAGAACGCTGTATGATGATGTGTTGACCAGCCTCCTCAACGTGTCTGCCATGTCTGCAGTTAGCCTGCACCCTTAATCCTGCTAGGACGTCCCAGAGCGACCGGGGCACTTAATCTGGCGCGAGTGCGCTCCGTATTTATACCCCCTTTGTGAAAGAGACCAGCACACACACGCACACGCACACACACACAAACACACACACACACACACACACACACACACAGAAAGAGTTCTTGCCCTTGACGCCGGATGCTACGGACGCGCTTTAGTTGTAGCAACGGAGCTGTTTTTCCTGCATTCAGGCTCAGAGTAAACGGAGCTGCTCTCCTCCTCTCACAGTTTTACTCCTCATTGAAGAGCTGGACCGGGCGCGTGCCCGTTCTCTCTGTGACGCGCGCATGGGCCGTCACAGTGTTTGTAATGTAATGAGATGCTGAAATGTCACACTGTCATCACACACATACACACACACACACACACACACACACACACACACACACACACACACACACACACACACACACTTTAGTGTTAGATGTCAGCGGAGTTTATTTACACACATTCAGTGAAGTGTATTGAGGTCAATTAGCCTCCTTTCCCATATAAAACACTATAGTCCACTGCTGAACTGAAATAAAGGAGCAAATAAAGTATATAATCTTGAATGTTACACTTAATCCACAAATGCACACAACCTGTTATTGTCCAAATCTGAAATTTAACATATAATCCCTAAACTTGCCTGAGCAAACATTTATTTATTTTTTTTTAAATTGGTCCAAGGTTCAAGAGGCTTTGTTGTCATTTCAGCTATATACAAGTACACAGTGAAATGATCCAACATTCCTCCAGGATCATGTTGCAACACAGGAACACAAGGGCGAAACAATACAATATGCACAGTGCAGACAGTACAGTGCAATAAATACAAACACAAAGCCAGTACATGGTGCTGAGAGTATGTACATTGTGCAAAGTAGGATGTTACATACTATGACATATTAGCAGATTAGCAGATAGTCTAGTATACATGAGCATAGCAGTCACTGAGATAGCAACCAGAACAGACATGGAATACAATATTTGGTTGATACAGTATTCTAGCAGCCAATATTGTTAAATTAAGTAAAATGTGCAAAAATGCAAGAAGTCAGATATTGTTAAGAGAATAAAATGTACAAAATTCAAGTAGTCAGATATATAAGTTTTATCAAGTGAAGTATTTCAGTGAAATGCAATAATTGTATGTAAATACAGTGTCACAGACAACAGACAGGTCAAACCTAAAATGCATAAAAGTGAAATTTTCACTTAAATTAACGCATTAATTTCACAGTTTTGATCAGAAGGAGCTACTGCTTTTTAACAGAAACAAGAGAAAATCTAAGTTGATTGTGAATAATGGAATGAAAATTACAAAAACATTCAAATGCACCCATAAAGGTTTATCCAAAGTATAACAATAGAAATTTTCAACACTTTAGATCTAAAATGATCTGATCTTGGTCTAACTTGAGACCAATTTTGGTCTCAATTTAGACCAAGATTAGAACTATATTTGTGGATTTTTGCATTGTCATGCTAAATTTAGGGTTGAATAAAAAAAAACTAAACTTAGAACTGCTATTAGATATACCTAGATATTACATTTTATGTAAAATTTAGAAAATAAACAGTAATTGTGCAGTAAACTATGCAGAACTGTGTTATCTGTAGAGGATGTGTACTTATTTTCATTTAAAACATATATGTGTCTGTGTGTGTATGTGCATATATGTACACTCACTGAGCACTTAATTAGGAACACCTACTCATTCATTTGATTATCTAATCAACCAATCATGTGACAGCAGCGTAGTACATAAAACAATGAGAAGGGTCTGGCTGCAGATATGCACTCTCAGCCTGACATGCACTGCCAGCCCATTAATGACGTCAGTGCCGCTCTGTCAGGCCAATTTTTTGTTGATTTGATAAGCAAAAACAGCAAATCATGTACTATCGAGCAACGAGAGTTACATAATGAAATGAAATGTGATAATTTACAAAATAAAACCTACCACAACGATGAGACATTATGTCTGATTTATTAGAAGAAAAACTGAACTACCACTGAAACTCATGGGGCGGAATAATGCAGATAGGACAGCAGCTTCAGGCAAAGTTCACATTAACCATCCTGGGATTTTCACACAAAACAGCCTCTAAGGCAGGGGTACATAACTCCAGTCCTGGAGGGATGATGTGCAGCATAGTTTGAAGGTTTTCCTGCTCAAACACACCAACTTAACCTGATAATTAACAGATACAGTGGTGCTTGAAAGTTCATGAGCCCTTTAAAATTTTCTGTATTTCTGCATGAATTTGATCTGACTTCATCAGATTTTCATACAAATTCTAATAGTAGACAAACAAAACCAAATTAAACAAATGAGATGAATGTTTTCAATCAATTGGATGGCAATAAGGTGTAAGTGATCACCCTGTTTTATTTAAAGAACTGGGATCTATTACTGTCTGATCTTCACAACACAACATGGCACGAACAAAGAAGATTTCTGAGGAACTCAGAAGAAAATATGCTGATGCTCGTCAGGCTGGAAAAGGTTACAAAGCCATTTCTAAAGAGTTTGGACTCCACCAATCACAGTCAGACAGACTGTGTACAAATGGAGGAAATTCAAGGCCACTGTCAGAGCCCCCAAGAGTGGTTGACCAACAAAGATCACACCAAGAGCAAGGCGTGTAGTAGTCCACGAGGTCACAAAGGAACCCAAGATAACTTCTAAGCAGCTAAAGGCCACTCTCACAGTGGCTACTGTTAATGTTCATGAGTCCACCATCAGGAGAACACTGAACAACAATGGTGTGCATGGCATGGTTGCAAGGAAAAAGACGCTGTTTTCTAAAAAGAACATTGCTGCCCATCTGCAGTTTGCTAAAGATCACAGGGACAAGTCAGAAGGCTTTTGGAACAATGTTTTGTAGATGAATGAGACCAAAATAGATCTTTTTGGTTTAAATAAGAAGCGTTGCGTTTGGAGAAAGGAAAACACTGCATTACAGCATAAAAACCTATATTCCATCTGTGAAACATGGTGGTGGTAGTATCATGGTTTGGACCTGTTTTGCTGCATCTGGGCCAAGACGGCTTACCGTCATTGATAGAACAATGAACTCTGAATTATACCAGAAAATTCTAATGAAAAATGTCAGGATGTCAGGACATTTGTCCAAGAGCTCAAACTCAAGAGAACGTGGTCATACAGCAAGAAATCGATCCTATATATACATATATACACACACACACACACACACATATATATATATATATATATGTATATATATATATACATATATGATTAAGGTCAGGACTTTGACTTGGCCATTCCAAAACATTAACTTTATCGCTGCTGTCAGATCAAAACCTTGTACCTCAAAAACTTTACTTTATTTTTATTAAAAAGTCAATGTAACTAGACGTTTTGCATTTCTTTTTGTCCATTCATCAAGAGATACACACACTGTGTAAAGGGCAACAGGTACTTTTATATTATGTCAAAAAACTGGAAAACAACAAAAAATGAGACACGAGGTTTTGTTCTGTCAGCAGCCCCTATGGTGTCGGACCAAAACCTCCAATCTCCATTTTTAGTTTTTCAGTTTTTGACAGCTTTTGAAAATACCTACTGGACCAAAACAAACCACCCAAAATTACTTGGAAAAATGTCTGGTTCCATTGACTTACATTAAAAGTGAAGTATGTTTTTCTTCTCCTGTAAAGTTACCATTTTGGAAATACGAGGTTTTGCACATGTTATATATCCGTTTCTGTCTCTGGAAGAATGACTGTTCCTTTATTTGGGCTCCCCTATTTTGGGAGAGCGCATCACAACTCCTGGTGGCATCCTACGGCTCAGACCAAACCATCTGGAGTATGGCGGGATATCTGCGTATTTATCAGTTTTCTTTCGGAATATCCTCTGTACCGTCGTTACGGTGGTTTATATTGGCACAGTTTTGAACTCAGTGCTCGGTGTGTGAGTGTGTGTGATTTATCAGTGTCGTATCTGTGTGAGAGAGTGTGTGAGTGGTACAGTCCAGTGAGCGCTCAGCTCAGCGCAGCTCTCTGAACACAGCGCAGGGAGGGAGGGTCAACATGGCGTCCGAGCAGGTCTGTTTTTATCCCAGATCCCTCATTGCGTTAGTTAAACTATCTTCCCTTAAACGCGCTGGTTATGGATAGAAATGTATCTGCCGTTTGCCGGGTTTGTCTCGGAATAGTCATGTTCAGTGAACGAGTCGTCTTTGTTGGGTTTGTGGTTTTATGCGCGGTTCGTGTCCAAAGCGTTTATGGAAAAAATGACTTAATGAGAAACTCAGTTTCGGGCTCTGTTGTCGTTTTGCTTCAGCTGGTGTTTCAGTAGATCATTTTGTTGAGCATAAGGGACGAGTGATATACTGTCATTTATTATTTAACGTTAGTCTCCGACTGTAAAACGGGAGCGTGTTGTTTATTTTTAGTCCGTTACCCATATTACCCTATTACCCCTACTCACCCACTCACAGACAGACAGACAGACAGACAGGCTGGAGTCACACATTACTGACAGAGAGAAAAAGCGCCCCTGTGTGTCTCCTTAAAGCTAACCATACACTAGAAGACTTTGAAAAGACTTCTGAAAGAGTCTGACACCCTCTCACATCTAAAGACAGTGTCACGTTTTTAGTCAGAGACTATGATTTTCCAAAGACTGGGAATCTTGCAGTGTCACTATTTACAAGACTGCAACTACATTTTTGAGATTATACCCCCATCATGCACCTGGTGGGAATTTACAAGCAGATAAACCCTTTTCCTTCCACTCTATAGTGATACAGATGGGAAGATAAGCTGGCTGGGCGTGTAAAGATCTGGTACTCAGATTAGTTCACTATAGAGCTGTGTACTCTGGCAGATCATCACCCAGAATCTTTAAATTAACCTGAAAAATGCTTTTTTAATTTGATATAAAGATTTACACATCGCAAACTAAACCATATGAAACAAACAAACAGAATAAAAAAACCAGTGTAACAGAAAACAGAAAAAAAATAGAAAAAAGATGGATGATTCTTCAGTAATGCCATTCTTAAAGTCCTCTGCACATTTCCTTACCTGTTACAGGCTCAGTGAAGCTGAGCTTCAATCAATCAATCAATCATTGATTGATTGATTGAAGCTGAAATATCAAAACAGTCAGTTTACAGTTTAAGTTTTTATGATTATTGTATTGAATTGCCGTTTTTTACAGAGATGTCAGGCAGTCACGCCTGCATTCTCTCTCTCTCTCTCTCTCTCTCTCTCTCTCTCTCTCTCTCTCTCTCTCTCTCTCTATCTATCTATCTATCGCGCAGCGCACCTGCACTCACCCACAAGCCCTCACGCGCGCCCCTGGCACGTCACTATTTGCGTGAGCCAAGACTTTAAACTTACGATAATATTAAACACGGCTGATTTTGTCGCAGCGTTAAGACGAGAAAAAGACTGACTTAAGACCGCCAACTTGACCACCTTACACCAAACGATCGAGCGCGAAGTGACTCTAACAAGACTCTCGTGATTTTATTCCGACATGGATGTTTGTCTGCGACAGTGAAATCGCTTGAAAAGTCGTTTGGTGTAAGGCCGGCATTCAGCATCAAAAGGGTCCTCATGACTTACAGGCACACTGACCTTTTTTACATGTATTTATGATATTTATACATTGGTTTCCGAAGACATTTGCTTTTAAGTGCACCTTATGAAAGAGAATAATATCATAATAAAAGTAATTAACTAGCTTTAACTTGAAATCGCTTCTTCAGGTTGAATGGCTCTCTTATAATTATCTCATGTTTACTTAGAGCTCTTAACTTACTTACATGGTTTCAGGTCGCCCTGATTAGTCAGAGCACCTTACCGTTATGTATGTAGCAGATCTAACTCTAACTGTAAGTTCTCATAAGCCTGATAATTATTATTAGAGATGTAATGTAATAAAGGTCTGTCAAACCTTTCTAGTAGTTCTCCACCCTAAGCTATTCAGACTTGATAGCTGTTTGTAAAAAATCCCTTCAGACTGTCAGTCAGTACAAAAAAAGTGAATACAGAGCAATTTTCTTTTGGTTTACTTTATATCTTTGCTCACATTGGGTTTGACAGCAAAACCATTCTGCCTAAGTACCATTTGAAAGGGAATTCATTCAATTTTGCAACGTTTTTGCATTATTAAATGGTTAAGATGGTAAACAAAGTCGTTCAGAGTCGTTTAATGTGAAATCTTCCCTTCCAGAGAAACTTACCAAGTCTGAGTTCTTCACAGTGGTCTGAGGAACCAGACTTATGAAGGGTTTTATGCTTCTAAAAGCTCCCTCGCAGAAAGTTTATGATATAAAATGATTATGAACACGCTGCTTGTTGCCTCAGACATTGTTTTAGGATAGTTTTGAGAAGGTTTTGGCATAAAACATATTCTCTTAAAGCTATTTGTTGCAGAGAGGTACATGCAGGGTATTGTAGGGCAAAAAAGTCCCATATTTTCAGTATCGCCGAAGTTTGTCCATTTATTTATTTTCCCTTTAGTTTGTTAGGACATTGTCGTATGTCTTGGAAAGTTGAGACATGCAAATTATTATGCAAATGGATTAGGACTTTGAGTAGCCTAAAGTGCTTTATTTGGCATTGAAATAAAGTACCAGACCTTGGAAAGCAGGGACAGTGGTCTGTATGTTTATATAAGCTTGCTCGATTACAAATCTGAAGGAAATTTCCAAATCGATCAAACCATTTAGCTAAATAGCAAGTTGTTACATAGGTCTACTAATTTTACAAAACCATAGAAAAACCTAATTTGATTGTGAATGAAAGTATAAAAATATGTCATCAAAACAAATTCCAACAAGTACTGCTGTTAGATGTTTATTCAGAGTACAGCTATACAAAATATTATCACTGTAGACCAATCAGAATTAGTTCAGTGGCAGTTTTTCTTATTAATTGTTGGACATGAATGGGTTAATAGAGATGCACGTGATACTGGCACAGTGCTTCAGTAGTATTGGTTATAGAGTTGCTGAACTGGGTTCATGATGTTGCATAATGCTAATAGTAATAATAATAATAATAATAATTACTGACACATCCATCTACATACTTAGGACCTACACCAAAATCTAGTCATATCAAAATTTTTCTAGGTATTGACAGAAAATCAGAAGTGTGTTGATGTGTCCTTCGTATTTAATATGTCCTACCTGTAGGAAAGCTCGAATGGGCCAGTGAAGAGGTCCATGCGGGAGAAGGCCATTGAGCGGAGGACTGCGAATAAAGAACACAACAGTAACTTCAAGGCTGGATATGTCCCCATAGAGGAGGAGAGACTGCACAAGACGGGGCTGAGGGGTCGAAAGGGCAACTTTGCCGTGTGCTTCATCGTCCTGCTCTTCCTGCTCGCGCTCATTAATCTCATTGTGAGTGGAGCTGCAGTGCATTAACAGTGAAAGTGAGATTTGTGTTCAGTCATGTGTGGTAAAGGCCATGTTGTTGCCTCTGAGTGTCACTGTTATTTTTTATGTGGATGTTTCATAGACTTACCTTAACGTCTCCCCTCATACTGCTTCTTTCTTTCTCTGTATCAGATAACTCTGGTGATCTGGACAGTAATTCGAATAGGTCCCAATGGCTGCGACAGCATGGAGTTCCATGAGAGTGGTCTGCTGCGTTTCAAACAGAAGGCTGATATGGGCGTGGTCCATCCGCTACACAAGAGCACTGTGGGAGGGAGGAAGGACCAGGACCTCGTCATCACTGGCAACAACAACCCGGTGAGTCTGGAGGATATATGTTTAGTCTTGGCCTGGGTACTTTTTTACATTTTATGTAGTTATACACATGCTCAAATTAATTTACTGACGTCCAAATAAGTCACGCTCGAAGTTTCATTGTTTCATTCATTGTTTCTGTGGTATCCTGTGAACTAAACAATTTACTTATCCACTTACTCAGCCTGCATCAGTTTAGCCCCGCCTATTCATGTTGAAGTTATAAGGAGTGTTTCAGCCCTGTGTGATTTTTGAATGAGGCCCAATAAAGAACAGCTAGAGAACAGAGCTCATTTATCTTACATCTGTCTTAAAAAGCAAAAAAACTGTTTGATTCTTAGCAATAAAGAGAGGTTTATAAATGGTCCTGTAAAAATGAATAATTCATGAATGAATAAAATCATTTTTGGTACATAAAACCACACCTATATTATAAGTGGACCTCAAAGGAAAAAATTAAATTTAAGAAAAATGTACAAAATGGGTCCTTTAACTCATCCCAATGATATTGGATGGTGCTTCATCACTCCAGTAAACACAGTTCTACTGCTCCACAGCCCAGTGCTGGGGCACTGGGCCAACACTTTCCATTGGGCATGATGACTATAGGCTCATGTGCAGCTGCCTCAGAGCATCTCATTGTATTGGCAGCATACATATCTCTGTGTGCGCAGTTGAGCACCTCTGTCAGTATTAAGTGCACCTTAAAGTACCTGAATTCACTAATTAGGAGTGTCTAGACACTTTTGGACATACAGTATATATTCATTCAAAACAGTGTTAATGAGAGTAAATAATTGTTGCTTTTTTACTCCATGAAGCTCAACTCAGTGACTCAGTAACGTTGAATTTTATTATTTGTGTGTGTGTGTGTGTGTGTGTGTGTGTAGGTAGTGTTCCAGCAAGGCAACACCAGGCTCAGCGTTGAGAAAGACAAGACATCTATCACCAGTGATTTAGGCGTTTCATTCACAGACCCACGCACTCAAACTACATTCTTCAGCACAGACTTCGACAACCACGAGTTCCACCTGCCCAAACAGGTCAAGGTTCTCAACGTGAAGAAAGCCTCCACAGAAAGGGTGAGCATCTGCATCTGCACAGCATAAACATACCTGTAAAACATAAACACACCTGCAGCCTTTTTCACTGTTGCATACTTCTTCTAATGTACAAGAATATTAACAGGTACATAATGTTAATGTAAACTCATAACGCTAAAGAAAATAATATAAATGCTCATTTATAAGGTGGTAAAGTGTTGTAACTTAGAAGTATAATGTTTAGGGTTTTTTTGTTTTGTTTTAATTACACTTATTTCAAAATTTTGCCGTTACAGAAAAGACTTCAGCATCAGGATGAACATTTCAAGTCATTGCTTGACATTACAAGTCATTACAAGATAGAAATCTGAGAAAACACTGCTCAGAAACCAGCTGAATTTATTGAGATTCAGGATTGTTCATCCCCACAGCTACCAACCTACCGATGCTGAATTTAAGAATTTCCACCACCAAATAATGCACAGTCACGGGTTGGTGACAGTAGGCTGGGTTTAATGTTTTCTGTAGGTTTGTTTATATCTGTAGTCTATATTCCCTCAGTCTGGACCAAAGCAGGAAATGACACATTGTTGAATTTTAGTTCTACTTCACACTAACATATTGAACATCAAATCAAAATATGTAAACATAAATCATATAGATAAGAAGTGATTAGAGAGAATTTATAATGTATCAATGTTGTCCATGTTATAAAACTGATTTGGTTATTGAATGAATGGAATTGTGGACTCTAAAATGAGTGAAAAGTGGCTTAGCGTTGAGAATAAATTATAATAAATGTAATTTCCAGAAGGCGATCAGATCTTAGGGTAGATAACTTGACAATTACAATTACAACTGACAGTTAAAACTGAAGCGATCCGTTCTGTGATGACCAATTCAGAGCTCAAACACATCCATCAGGGATTCGTCTGTTTCAGACAGTGGAGACAATAGTATGTTCTGTGTTTGATCAACATAGCCGTCTTTCATCCATGCTGCGTCTTTTCTTCAAAAAACCTGCTCAAGAATTCGTTTGGAAGTGGGTCCGCTGGTGTGATGCCCACCAGGGTTTGATTGGTAGCATTCTTACTCGTCCTAATGAACCGCACTAACGCACCAGGGTTTGTTATAGTTGAACCGTCATGCCCTAGGACAGATAAGAAACTATAGGTCTGAACACACACGCCCTCTAAGACTAGGGTAGACCTAATTAATAAGAAATCATGGAGGGTCCTTGGGGCTTGTCGGGACCAAGGGCTATCGCCTTCAAACCCAGGCCTCGGACATAATATTAAAATCTTTAATGCTGACTAAACACTAATTTAATTCTTAGTCCTCAAAAAATATCAAAAAGGAAAAAAGACTTCAGACGCTGAGTTCACGGAAAGAGGTCAAAAGGCGGCTTCTTTATTTGAGCATCAGGTGGCACAAGGTTTCAAGAGACCCAACTGGCGAATACAATGTTGGGACAACGCCTTTTTATACCCTTATATGGAGTGCTATAATGTCACCTCATTGTTCTTATCGAACTTGATGTTCCATTAGTTTCCATTAGATACAAAACCCATTCATTATTTAGCTCCCCTTATTTCCAGATGTATACAACATTTCTTTTTAAAAAGCTAAAAAGCTGGTTTCATCCAGTTCGTACCAGTCCATCCCATCCTACAAGGTTATTCTTATATGATATCATGATATTATAGTTCGCAAGGTTCGCTCGGGCACCTGCGTGTAAGTTCAGAGAGCTCACTAAAGCTGGAATGCCTTTCCTATGTTACATCTTAGTGAGAAATTAATATTTCCTTTTAGTCAATGCTTAACTATCTGATTATTGATTACATGCTAAATCTGTTTGATTATTGGTTAAGGGTTTATTTATTCAAAATTTTAAATCAGGCTTTAAGAACTTCCCATAAATACTGTACATAAATGCTAACTTGACTGACAAAGGTATTGCTTTCAGCATCTTTAGTGACATAAAGGAAGTTTTAACACATACATAAATTTTGTGCTTTTACAGATCACTAGCAACGCATCCTCTGACCTCATGATCAAAGGTGACGGCAAGGCAATCATCCGAGGCAACGAGGGTGTCTTCATTATGGGCAAGACCGTCGAGTTCAGGATGGGCGGTGATATCGAGCTCAAAGCTGTGAGTATTGTCCTTGTTGCCTAGAAGCTTCCCAGGACATTGATTACTACTTGAGTTCCAGGGATTTTCAGCACTGACAGTGGGACTTAATCCAAGACTGCTATTGAGTATAACTGCAGTTTATATACTATTGTGTACTGCTTTACGTATAATTTGGAAAAACTATTTTTCTTTACTAATAACATGCAGTGAGGTCTACCAGTAATCTCACCATCATAAGACACAAGAATTGTTTTACTGTACAATTACTTATAGTATATCATTACTATCCAAAGAAAAATATGCATCTCCAAAATAGTAACTATACAGGAGAAGAAAAAACATGCTTAACTTTTAACATAAGTTAATGTAAAGAGATTTTATTCCAAGTAATTTTGGAGTATTTCTGTTGGTCCATTCATTGTGACATGTTCACACAATGTCAAGCACAGCTCTTGTTAAGCTAAAAATGGACAGAAATGGCAATACATTTTTTTTTTGGACAGTAGTGATATAGCATAAGTAATGTAGGTAGCGATGTGTATGTATCTAGTAAATTAGATTAGTTTGTGTTTTTCTTTATACGAATAGTATATATTATAAAAGCAATACTTTCGAAGAAGCGCAGAGATTCTAAATCGTTCTGTGTTTCCCCTTTTTTGTGCAGGAGAACAGCATTGTCCTGAACGGCTCAGTGATGTTCAGTCCGTCCCGTATTCCAAACACCTCTTCGGGCAGCGAGCTGTACTTCGATGAGGGTCTGGAGAGGTACAAGCTGTGCATGTGTGCTGACGGGACTCTGTTCAGAGTTCAGGTCAAATACCACAACATGGGCTGCCAAACATCAGACAACCCCTGTGGAGCGGCACCACACTGAGAGAAGGGGAACGCCACTGGAAATGTTCACACACACACACACACATACACACACACCTGTCTGTATTATAGAGAATCCCTGTAAATATCAGTTACAGAGATTTGGGCTGTCAGTATCTATCTATCGCTAACTATGTCCATAATTGAGTAATCTACTGATTATTTTTACAAATAATGGGACAGTCTGTTTTTTTTTAAAGGCCAAATGGGATGATTGGATTAAGTGAACAGTATCAAACCATTCATGATTTTCCAAATTACAAAACATTGCGTTTGGAAAAAGACAAACTAGAACATCCTTAAAAATACACTGCTATTCAAAAGTTTGGAATCGCTCTCTAAAAGTTTGGAATAATATAATACCAGTTTAGTTGCAGATAAATGTATGAGATTGTTCTAATATGCTAGTCCTGTGCAACTTCTCAGAATTGAAATAAATAGTATGATGCTGTAAATAGAAATTATGACACCCTAGATGTGTCCAGAATGATGAATGGAACGAAGTAGAAGTTCTAAAATAACTATGAAAGCTGTAGATCTAGAAATAGAAATTTTAATGAATCATTTTTGATAATGGAGGTTAGTTGAGTAATCGTGACAGCCCTGCAGGAGATGGCTGTGTATTTCACAAGATTCACAGCCATGCTTAAATACAGCTCCATCCACTGACATGATTATATAAAACCATACCTACTAACAGACCTCATCACCTTATGATGTGTGTTCATCTCACACACAGTCTGAAACTGGCACATACACTCTCACACATTCATATAATGTTCACTCATAACCATAAACCTTATCATGCATAAGCACTCCCTCTTTTATTATAATGTTTTGGCCAAAGAACTCTCTGACTTTTATCACTAAAGCCAACTTCAGTAGGAATAAATAATGCATTTTTTTGTGGAATGCGGTATCAGGGAAGGTCTTTAGATGTTTTAGAGGTGGGCAAATGTCATATATTTAGATAGAAGATTGCAAAAAACAAGAATTTTGTTTTACGAGTGTGATGACTCATGCTTAATATCAACAGTGACATAAACTAACAAGGTAAAAAGGTCATTTTTAATGTCAGATTGACTTTGTCACCTCTGCAATCTTTTACAGACTTTGAGCTTCCTGCCCTTTCGCATCACTTTTGTTTTTGTTTTGTTTTGTTTTGTTTTTAATGAAGGATTTATGAAGATTTCTGTTGGATGTATTTATAAGCAGCCTGGGCAGTATTATAGCAGTGTTTACCAAGCCTTTGTGGAGTGACTGACATTGTAACATGAAAACAACAAAGTTTCTCTAATATAGCACCTTCAGGACTTTCTGCTTCATCAAACAGGAATCAGCCCTCCTGCTAAACTCAAGCCTGTCGTTCTTCTTGTTCAGGCAAATAAGAAAAGTGAACTGTAACAGGATTTACTTTGTCCAGCAATTTCAGCACATTCATGATGAACGCCATCACTGAGATTCACTCCACTCGCGTCTTCCTCAGTGAAACTTTCATCTTTTTGTGGAGCTAGAGCCTGTACTGCATCGGGTCTTACATCCCTTCATAGCAGTGGTTCCCAGCCTGGTCCTTAGGACCACCCATGCAGTCCACATTTTTGCTCCAACCCAAATTGCAGCACATAGGGATGATGGAAGAATGTGGACCAATCTGGGAGCCCCTGTGGGCTGGGTTGGGAACCACTGCTTCATAGGATATGTTCCACTGTTTTTTGTGTATTCACACAGGTGTATTTAGGCAGCTAGTCCTGGTAACAGATGCCTTGAGTAAATTTGCACCTGAATAGAATGGAATCTGATTGGTTTCCCATCCAAGCCAATCAGATACCTTTCTGAAGATTGTCCTGTTTGTGCAACCATCAAACAAAAAGTTTATCTTAGATGTATAGTTTGCTAGCTTGCAAAGTTTCTCAGCTATAAAATGGAAATTAACCCTTGTGTGGCTTTGATGTGTTTGTTACTCAGTGGTCTGGCGGACCCACCACATTATTTCTTTTTAAATCAATACAGTCAGAACCATTTATGTAAAATATCAGATGTTTAAAATATCAAAAGTGACCAGCGTAGGGTTCTCCTTTAGCAGCTGTAGCCAGTCAGCAGCGTGTCCATGTTGTCCCCCCTCACAGACACACACACAAACACACACACACACACACACACACACACTAACAGCAGGCCGTGTAGGAGGAGAACAGAGTGAAGGACACAGCACCTCCACACTTTTACTCCCCGCGGTTTCACCCAACACCACATGTGTAATATAAATGTGTGGGGGCTGAACAGAGTGAAGACACTGAAAATGTGTTATTTTATATGTTCTTCACAGAAAATGAGCAAAGACCAAGAAATCTGGGGTTGAAATAATAATAAATTACATCATTTTACTTTCGGTAAACATTGAAAATGGGTCCCACAGACCTGAACACCACACAAGGGTTAAAGAGCATGAATTTAAAATCAATTTTGAACATGTCCTTTATGGCTGTGATTGACTAGAAAAAACAGACATCCTTCAAGAAAGAGGGCTGATTCCATTGCAGTGGCTACATGAATCCAGGCAAAATTATATCTTCTGAAATTCAAGACTTGTTGGCAGCTGAAAGAAGTGATGCATTAATGTTACTTGATCTGCATTTGTTCATCATTTACACAAGAATGAGATACATTACATAAACACAGTTATTACCAAAAGTAAGCAAATGGAAAGACTAAATGTGTTGATGTGATATTTTGTCAGTGTGGAAATGATTTGATCAAGTAAATTCAGTGCATCGGTTTTGCAGACTCAGAACAAATTTCAGCTCATTTCCCAAGGAGCCTTTTCGCAGTGTTGAGTGCTTAACTGTGCTGAGATGTGCAGGCAGACTTTGTCTGGTGTTAGGAAGGATGGGGTATTTGCAATATCACTTAAGTCTTCTACAGTATGCAAGAATGAAAGTGTGGAAGCAATTATGATAGTATTCTGGATTGGGTTACAGTATTTTAAAACATCTCGTTACCACTATAGAGATATTTAACACTTCATATAATGCTGTGTTACTGTTTTGACAGTGTTCTTCGCAAACCTGTGTGTTGTCATGACTTCCCTTCTTGCCTGTGCCACATACTTGTTTTTCAGATTTTTTACAGTTTTTACTCTCAACCGTAAACACTGAATTGGAGTAAGCATGGTTGAGCATCTCCGTCCTACACCTGCTATTGTTTTGCACCAGATTTTAAGTCTATAATACATATATACAGATACATATAAAAGCTGATATGTTACAGTTTCATCTGAAGTGTCTTGCATTAAAAGTGCCCAGTTAAATGTAAGTTTTTCAGAGTGCCATACGAATAAAAGTATTTTACGCTTGTGCTGCAAAAACGGGCATGAATGCACTTCAGCTTAATGAAGTTATTTTTTCAGCTGATGCGGACGCGTGTTGTGATTTGAATAATACCTTTTGATAAGATGACCGTAGAAAGCATCTGTGTTTAATTTGCTTGATATTTTGTGCAATATAAGGCTTATTCATGTGTTTGGGTCTCAGTGTTCATGTGTGGTATTTATTTGATGTATTTTTCTGTTTGTTTTGTTAAACTCCAAAGTGTTCAGATGACCGTACTGCATTTTTACTAACGGCTGTTAACTCTGCATCATGTTTAAGTCGTTTTTATCTTCATCTGAAATGGAGAGGTTTGTTCTATTGGTTTGGTGTTGTGTGTGCACAGACAGGCAGTTGTGCAGCTCCATTTTTAAGTGGTAAAAACAGTTACATTTTTCATGGCAGTGTTTGCATTGGATACAAATAAATAAATAACTACAAAAAAATAAATGTTGGATTAATTTTAAATGGCATGTGTAGCTTTTGTTTTTTGTTGTTATTGTTTTTTGTAAAACTACACCAAAGGTGAGGAGGATTTGGCATTTATGGTTAATCATTTAATAATACGGTACTGTGCAGAAGGCAAAGGCCACCAAAATTACACAAAGCCTCAAACACTGAATGTAATATCAAGTCTATCAGTATTTCTTTTGTGCACCTTACTGCCACTTTAACTCCTGCATCCTGCCAGTCTTAAAACCAACCAGTTACAGCTGGTTTAACCAGTGCTGTGTCCCCTCCAACAAAAACTGTTCCCAAAGGACTCAGACATCATGTTCCCCTTCAAAGAGACACCAACATTTACACAAACAGCTGCCTAAGCACATATTCAGTTGTTGAGGGCTCTGTGTAATTGTCTGTTAAAAAATGTACTGTTGGTTTCCTGACACTGAAAAATGAATAACTTGTAGAATAACTTGTATTTAAAGACCATTTTGACTAGAAATTAAATAAAAGAAGGGTGGTCATTGTCTTTTATACAGTACTGTATATTGAGGGCCATAAATCATACATCAACTATATAATAATATGCCTTTCATAATAATATGAGTGTATATTAATTTATTAATAATAATATATTACACTCCTGCTATCAGAATATATTAAGTACTGTGAAAAATACATTCATACCTACGTTGTAGTACAAGGTCTCGGTTTTGTCTCAGGCTTGATATCATTTTGACTCAGAAATTGTTCTCGAGACCAGCCGAGTGTGATGCCTCTGTTTGAGCTAATTAATTGAAACTTTTTACAAATATGAATACCTTTATTGTCATTGTACAAGTGCAGTGAGATTCAGTGTGTACCTAAATCGAATGAAATACCAATTAAAATAGAATAAGATAACATAAATTAGAGATAGACAGCATATTTACAAAGGAACAAATATGCAAGGTGCAGTACAGCCTGAGGTGCATGTGGACAAGCCTGTGGCATAAGTATGTGCATCTTCTGGGGTTGGGGGTAGTAGAATAGTTCAGGGTGGAGCACCATGGCTGGAATATTGCAGTACAAAAGTGACATGCAGTCAGTAAACAGTGGCCATATAGCAATAGGCAGTAGCAAATGCCATCAGTCAGGTAGTGTAGCAGCTTCACATTCTGTCTAATTCTATATAAAGTGAACAAGGTGCAAAAGCATACTATACTGTAATATATACTGTTCTACTATGCATATGATACCTACTATACTATGCATAATAGATGAGAGAACAGTGTGCAGTGTTAATTAGTAGGTGAAGTGCAGTTAGTGAGAAAGTGCTCAGAGCTGCAGTTGGTCTTTTTCTTTCATTACTGAATATCAACAAAACCTAAACGTAAAAACGGTTCTTTCTCTACATGTTTAAACAGAATCTGTTCACTGCCTGGGTATTTATTTGTTTATTGATGTTCATCGTTTCCAAAATTCAAACATCTGAGGGCAGATCGTAATTTTATTATTACTATGTTTTCACTTAATAATAAAATGGATGTATGTTGTTTGATTTATTTTCTGTTTACTTTAGGCTTTGATTCTAAAAAGGTTTTAGAGACGAAGGGACCGAGAATAATCTCACCATCAGTTGCTTACAAACGTTACAATGCTTAAAAAGTTAGACCAAGACTCTAGTAATAATTAATAGTGGTTTAGGCTATATATTATATATTTTATATAATAGATTATTTATTAATTTATATCATTTAATGAATTTAAATTAATAATGAACTACAAATGATCGTCAATTTTTCCCCTTTTTTCATTTGTATATTTTGAAAAAAACATTAAAGTGGTCCGGGTGGCGCAGTGGGTAGCGCTGTCGCCTCACAGCCAAAAGGGCCTGGGTTCGATTCCCGGCCGGGTGACCAGGGTCCTTTCTGTGTGGAGTTTGTATGTTCTCCCCGTGTCTGCGTGGGTTTCCTCCGGGTACTCCGGTTTTCTCCCACAGTCCAAAAACATGCAGTCAGGCCAATTGGACATGCTGAATTGCCCCTAGGTGTGAATGTGTGTGTGATTGTCTGTCTGTCTGCCCTGCGATGGACTGGTGACCTGTCCAGGGTGTATCTTGCCTTCCGCCCAATGACAGCTGGGATAGGCTCCAGCGACCCAGAAGGATAAGCGGTTTAGATGATGTATGTACTAAAGTGGTCCAGGACTTGGTCTTGACTAATTTTTACCCTTCTTTGTGATGCCTGTTTTCACAGAAGTGCTGAGGAGGAAGAAAACCAGAGTAAGACATTAACTCAGATATGTGAGTGATTGTAGAAAGCTATTCACAATTGTGTGTGCGTGGGTCATCATGTGTGTCTCAGCTGCAGCAGTGCTGTGCAGACTTTGATCATAGGCGAGTTCGAGTCAAAGTCAAAGATTTCTTCACTCATCCCTCAGTGTTTTGATGATAATAGCTGAGGAGGTACCATAGAATTCTCTCTGAACTGACAACTGTGAGCTGTGAGAGGTAAGTAAAAAGCTTTTTACCTTTGCTGAAACCTACTATTACCTGCTATTATAAAAGGTAAATGTCAGCTTTGACGTATAAGCGAGGTATTAATGAGTGTTAGCGATCGTGTACGACTGTCAGTGTGATCAGATTTACTATGTTTATATTGTAACAATGCAAAGACTTATTAAGAGAGGTATATTATCCTGTCATTAATTCCTATATGTGATTTGCTGCATGGTATTTACATTGTCAACAGATTCTTAAAAGTCTTGAATTGTCCTAATTTAAGTTTAACTAAGGGGGGGAATCAAATTTTGTTATCAAAAAAGCCTCACAACAGCAAAAAAAGGAACATGAATGATAAATCATGCTGAATAATAGAGGTGAATAGTTATTTAGCTGTACTGAAAAGGGCAGTAAATACCATTCTAGAGTTCCTAAAACATCTAAAAATCTTCAGTCATGAAGTCTAAACTCAAATTTTTATTGGCCTAGTGACAACGAATTAAATTATTGTGTGTTATTTCTATATTGTCAATTAAATTTTCATTGTTTATGTCATGTCTTTACATTGTATAGGGCCTGCTGGGATGTCAGTGTCCAGCTTAGTGCCCTGGCTTGTGGTCCTGCTCCTCCAACTTTGGGGAGCACACACACTGCCCCCTACGCCAGCATGTCTAACCCCCTGCTTATGCCAAAGCACTCCACTCCTAAACTGCTCCTCATCTGGCCTATCTGAGGCTCCATCGCAGATCCCAGTAACTGCCACGGCCCTGGACCTATCCCATAATGCTCTACAGTCTCTGGTTCCTCTTGGTTCTGGTCGCGCCCGTTTGAGAGGGCTTCAGCATCTCTGGGTGGGAGATAATGCACTGGAGACTCTGTCACTGTGTTTGGGGAAAGGTGTGAAAGGCACCAAGACCCTTACAGGAAGGAGAGAGCGCTGTGTGACGTGGGCACCTGATCTTCAGCTGCTGTCCGCTGAGAGGAACCAGCTAAAACGAATACCAGGAGGTCAGAACGCCACTCATTCACTCACACACATACAAAGACTGTTCAGGGGACATTCATTATCTCATATGCACAAGAAAATCATAATGACAGATACAATGCATGCAGTTGTCACATATACCATTCTATAGTCAGTCACTTGTTAACGTGGAAATCACTAGACCTTTGATTTATTGTTGACTCTCCTGAATCACTAGTGTCTTTTAGCCAATCAGATGGCTCACCTACAGAGTAAAAGGGCTGGGCACAGACATTCCAGTGCATCATTAGGGGCTGTAAAAGAAGGCATGGTTCGGTCTAAAGATCTCAACACATTCCAGAGTTATCACAGGTATTGTGGTCACAGTTATCATGGTTATTTTGACAGCAATTTAAATGGGTGTTAACATTTAAAGACGTAGCACAGATTCTAAGATTGTGACTGCTCCCATTTTTCTTATGAAAGTTTGTTAGAAAAGGGAACATCGTCAGTTTTCAAGTTTTAAAAAGATTATCGCCCTTGTGTATTTCACCAGGCTCTGCAGAAATAGCCTTCATAGCCCTCACATCATCTGAAAATGAGAGATCATTATATATATTGTATTTGTTATCACATGATCAGATGATAGACCATCAAGGTTGGGCAGAATACTTTGAAAAGGTAGTGATGGGTGAATACACTGTCCAGTTTATGTGTTTATTCAGGTGTATTGTTGAATTTAGTTTTATGGGTTTACCGCTTCAGGGCCAGCTCTTCTGTACCCAGTTATGTTTCTGCTTTTGCGCAGATGCATAAAATTGAAAGAAAATAGCTTAACGCTATAAATGCATTGAACGACATGATTAGTGGAGTAAAATCCTGCTGTGTTTGATTTGACTTAATCTGGTTTTAATATAATATATCTTAGTATGTTGTTTACATAACTACTTGGAAACTGCCGAAATCAGGTAGTGCTCATTATTATTAGTATTTCTGTAAGCACACTCATTCTTCATGCAGCTAGTTAGTGGGACCTCAGTAGCTATGATGTCATCTGATTGACACCACACCTATCATTTACTTGTTCCACTTATTTTCAGAAGATCTCTGAATTCTCAAAAAATTGCCCAAAACTGTATGGCCAAAAGTATGTGGCATCACACCTATATGAGCTTGTCAGACATCCCATTCAAAAACCTTGCATGGATATGGAGTTGAACCCCCCCCCGCCTTGCAGCTATAACAGCCCCCACTCTTCTGTTAAGGCTTTCCACCAGATTTTGGAGTGTGTATATGGGGACTTGTGTCCATTAAGTCAAAAGAACATGAAAGGTCAGGCACTGATGTTTGACGAGAAGGCCATCAACGGTCCAATTCATTACATAATCATAATCATCATAACATGACCCTGCACTGTAACTAAGGGGCTTAGCCCAAACCCTGAAAAACAGCCCCAGATGATTATCCCTCCTCTACCAAACTTTACTGTTGGCACTATGCATCCCAGCAGGTAGTGTTCTCCTGCTATCTGCCAAACTCAAATTCAAAAAACACTTCAGAAAACATACTTCCACTGATCCAAAGTCTTGTGGCAGCATACTTTAAACAACTGCAGCCGACACTTGGCATTGCGCATAGTGGTCTTAGGCTTGTGTGCAGCTGCTCAGCCATGGAAACCCCTTTCGTGAAACTCCTGATGCCCCGTTCTTCTGCTGATGTTGCTTCCAGAATTTGGAACACTGTAGTAAGTGATGAGGACAGGGGACAGGCAATTTCATGTCCTATGTGCTTTAGCACTTGGCAGCCCCACTCTTTGAGTTTGCATAGTCTACTGCTTCGTGGCTTAGCTGTTGTTGCTCCTAGATGCTTCCAGTTCGCAATAATGGCACTTACAGTTGACTGGGGCAGTTCTAGCAGGGCAGAAATTTTGTGAACTGACTTGGAAAAAGTGGTATCCTGTGACATTTAAAGTCACTTAACACTTTAATACGACTGATTCTAATGCCCGCATTTGTCTATGGAAATTGCAGGACTGTTTACATGTTCTGATATATAAGCCAGATACAATAGGTGTGACTGAAACACCTGAACTTAATTCAATGGGGTGTTAGATCAAGCCATGTTATGCCTGTGATGCTCAGTCAGTGTACTGCCATATTTACAGTTATATATGGGGCTTTATGTCAGAGATGCAATACTCAAATCAGTTTTCCCTTACAGACAGTAACTAGGTCAGTACTTGCCCTAGGACATACCAGCTTCTATTTCCTGTAAAGGTTTCACTGTTTTTCAAGTGCCTCTGTTGAGACCTCTGTGTTTTTTCACAGTGGTGTTAATTAATGGTCAGGGGTTTTGGCTGTTTGGCATGACCAGGATCAGTATTCGCAGCCCAGTCGTAGCCATTACAGGCTTAGGGTCCAAGGTCTGTTTCCTCAAAAGCAGTGTCAAAAATCACTGAAAGAAATATCAGTGAAAATCTGCCCAGGTCCCAGACTGACCCTCGATAAGAGGCCTGAGGCATAATGCTTCTGTTTCCTAAGGCAGTGTGCTAAAGCTGTGAGAGCAAGCAGATTTTAACATATCCTGCTTAGAATTGAAGCGAGATTCTTTTTTTATCACAGTGTGGTCCACCGATTGCTTTCTGAGTGGAATGAAATGACGCTCAAGTCCGTGCGAGTTACTCAAATGAGTGTTATTAAGGTAGGCCAAGGTCCCACACAGATGACAGCATCTCTCAGCTGTTTGTGAGTCAGTGCACAGCCTCTCTTCTCCAACGAATCCCTTACCAGCAGGCCCTCAGTACTGCTCAGCAGTCAATACAGCACTCAAAATAGAGGAGGCAGACTTCTCAATTTCTCTCTCTCTCTCTTATTTGCACTGACAGCCAGACCATTAGTATCCATGTCTGATTACTGCTGTATCAGCAACAAGCTCATAATGCAAATGTATACAGAAAATGAGGAGGCAGTTAATACACATACACTATTTATTATGAACCAGCCTAACCATAACTATTATGCCCTCAGAGCTATTCTGGTTAAAATGGGAGAAGGTTAAAGGGCCCATTTCATGGAAAATAAATTTTATAAAATTTTATTGGCTAAAATATTTGATACAGTGTGAAAACACTATTAAAGTTTTAAAATGTACCGTAACTCCACAGTCCGCACATGGAAGATAAGCTGCAAAAACAGCCCATTTTGAATTGTTTTCATGATGTCACAAATACCAACACATTTACATATGTACATATTATCACATACACATATTATTCACATAATCAGCCTACTGCAGTTTTGTTCCACCCATTCATGTGGAAGTTATAAGGAGACTTTCAGCCCAGAATGCTGTACAGGGCAGCCAGACAGACAGGGCAGGTCATAACAGAGCTCATATACATGTATTAGTCTTAAAAGCACAGTATCAAAAGCAGTCTGTGTATTTCTAAATAATAAAGTTGGGAAGTTGAAAACTCACACAACCATCATAAGTGGACTATGAATAATTTAGGATATGAGCCCTTTAGTGGGGAAAAACTGTAACTCAGTCATACATTATAACTCTTTCTTATTATTCCAATGATAAGTGATTTTCAACTTGCTTTCAATGAAGTTCAATTTCCACTTTTCTTCTATTTTACAGCAATTTGCAATTTGTAGGAAGTATAAGCTATTATTAACAATTGAATGCTGCATTAATCCTGTTACATCACAGAGCGATAGCCACACAGCTCATTTATGAGGTGAAATTGACCAGACAGCTGAAAAAGCAAACTTAAAGGGACACTCTAGCCAGACTAGGAAAATAAACTGATGATGATGATGATGTATTTTGAGGATGAGTGGAACTTTTGAAAATCCACAGCTGTTTTGTGGTGGATTTTTGGGGGCTATACAGGAAGTGCTGGAGGGCCATGTGTGCATACACACACTTGTGCTGCCTTTGGTTTAAGCTAGGAAGCTTGAAAACACATTTCAAACAATCCACCCAAAATCCACCCAAAAGCCTTTGTTTTTCAAAGATTCCTCCAACTTCAAGATGTCATCAGAAGAGGGGGGCGGTTCTAGTCTGGCCTGTGGGTCACTTTAACATCAAATTGAATGCTCCTAATTCCTTCTGACTACTTGGTATATACAGCATTTATATTTGTATATTTAACTACAGTAAATTTATAGTAGTAAATATTTACAGTAGTAAATATTCCACAATGTATAGTGATGTAAATATACCTTATTAGATGACGTCCTGATGACTTCCTTTTTACTAAGACATTTCACTTTTGACAACTAACGTTAATCAACTAAGGATCATTAACTAGATCAGTGATTCCCAACCCTGGTCCTGGAATACTGCACATTTTAGTGTTTTTTCATCTTACCTTTACATCTGATCCAACTAATCAGCTAATTAAGAACCCCTTTTTGAACTGAGGTAAATGTTTTAGTGGGGAAACTACAATGTGGAGGACAGGGGCTACTCTAAAATCAGGGTTGAGAACCTGTGACCTAGATCAGGGGTGCAATGGCAGCAGCCATTAGGTCAAATGTGCAATATGTTTTGTGATAGTTCTCTGGCCACAGCACTACCACCAACCTGACAGTGTGCGAAGCTGGTGTGCTGAGTTAGCGATGACAAAACAGATATCTATTGCACAGTCCAGGTGGTCTTTGCACATGGGGCCCCCATGAAAATACAAATTGGACATACTGCATGTGTTGACGTGTTGATGTTAAATAACCTATTCTGAAATACAATCTTATAATGAGAAATATAGAATATATCCATGAGAATGAAGATGATTTCACTTGCCAAGATATTTCTTTTTTTGCGGTGTAGAGGTTGCTCCATTCAGAAGCCTAGAGCTTTAACTAATTTAAAAATGTGTATCCAGAGGGCGTCATTCCTGTCTTTTGCCTAGAGCCCCAGAATCAATAAATCCGCCCTGTACGCAGTCCTCTAATGTAACATCTTTGTCGTCTCTGTCCTCCACAGGACTCGGCAGTATAAAATCATTGCAGGTGCTTCAGCTCTCCCATAACAGAATCTCTGAACTTGGTCCTGCTGACTTGGTTGGGTGTACTGACCTGAAAGAAGTTCACCTCCAGCATAACCTCATCAACACTGTCCACCCACAGGCCTTTAAGGACCTGCCCAGTTTACAGGTAACAAACCTCAGGAAAGGGTATACACAGAAAAAAATAGTGCTTTGAGCTGTATCTTTTGTTTATCAAATATCATCCTAAGTGTACTACGTATAAAACATGTTTGTCCAAAATAGTAACTTTACAGGAGAAGACAAAACGTCCTTAATTTTTAATCTAAGCTAAAATAAAGAGATTTTATTCCAAGTGATTTTGGCCCATTCATCATGAAATGTTCAGAGAATGTTAAGAGCAGCTGCTGTGTTCAAATGATGATCACTAAATTGAGAACTATGAGTCATAGCAATTTCAAATTGAAACACATTAACAGTTAATGTTTTCATTGTACCACCTAGGTCCTTGACCTGAGCTATAACCTGTTGACCATCATACCTCTGCCAGCTTACTTGTCTCTACGGAACTTGAATACATTTGTGGCCATTTCTGGAAATAGGTGGAGGTGTGATTGTAACTTAAAGACAATAAGGAGATGGCTAAGCTTCGACAATGAACTGGGTAATCCAGGATGGAAAGTGGTGTGTTTCTCTCCACCTCATTATGCTGGAAATGATCTGCTACATCTGGAGGAATCTGATCTTACCTGTCCACTGCCTGTATACAGCACACCAGGCCTTGCTAAGGAGGTGACAGTGGATGAGGGGACAGAATTATTGCTTTCCTGTGCAACACAAGGTACTGATTATCACGTAAATGTTTCAGTCTTTACTCTTAATGAATAAATTGGGCTATGTAGTATTGATTCATGCTTTTTTTCAAAATAGTTTCTGAATATACTAAAAAATTAAAGGAATGGTTTGGCAAACAATCTAAATTACACAATTTTCCAGTTATCCCAGACGTAGTCAATGAGCTGAGACATGTTTGGTGTCCAAATTTTGCTTCCTTAGCTCAGTGCTGGAGCTACCAGACAAGCATTGTTAGCAAACACCAGAAGTCAATAGTCATCTAAATTATTTTCTGTAAATACACACCTTATAAAGTCCTCTCAACCCACATCCAGGTCTTCATTAAAGTCACTCAGACTTGTCAGTGTGGTTTAGTGCATAGTTTGACTTACTTTGAGCTATAAAAATAAACAAAACTTCACCATGTAGCTGAGCGCTGCAGGCAGCCACATTAGACATTGTGCCCTAAATCACTTAGACAAGTATTTTACAGAATGATTTGGGTGACTATTAATTTTGTGTTCATTAACAATGCTAGCCTTGTAGCTCCCGCACTAAAAAAGAAAGAAAATTTGGATGCCAAACATGTCTTGATTAAGTAGTTGTCTGATTAACTACATCTTGGTAATTGGAAAATTGTGTAAATTACATTTTTTCCCAAATCTTTTCTTTAAGCCATCACAGCTGTTATGGAAAGCACTACTAAGAAAATGACATCTTTCTGTTGGCCTTTTCCTCAGACTTCATGCAGTCTCGTTGGTGGACACCTCATGGCCAAGTCTCTGAAAATCAACAAGTACTTCTCATCAGCAATGTCACAGAGCAGGATGCAGGACTTTATGTCTGTGTCTCAGGATTTCAGGAAGAGCATGTATCAATATTTAATCTACATGTTCATAAAAGATTTCATGACACAAGGCTGCGACGAGAAGCCCAGAATATTTTGGATGACCTTACCAGAGAAGGAAGCCTGAATGTGCAGAGAAATGTGCGAGCTGTGCCTCAGCAAGACTTTGTATTAGCTGTCTGCCTTTCTGTCTTCATTACATTCATCGTGGCCTTTGTCGTTGGTGTTCTGGTAAGGCCACTTCTGGATAAATTATGCAAGAAAATTCGATCTAAGAGGGATACTGCATCATCGTCTACAAACTCACAGACGTCCTCCACTCGGCAAAGGCCATACGTGAATGAAGGCTATTCTGATACAGATGAACATGTGCAAGAAGTGCGAGTGGGATCAAGAGTGACATTTGGTGGGGTCACAGAAGTAAATGACTGTGGGGGAAATATTCCTTATTATGTCACTGTAGAAGATGCCAAGTCAGACAGCTCTTCTGAGAATAATACAGATGTTGAGGTATCATATGAGAACACACAGGGGAATAAATTCTTGACTGTCAATGTTGAAAACCATTGTGTTGAGATGGAAGATCTGAAGAGCAGAGAAGGCGGCCATCCCAGCAGCTCACTACAAGTCAGCAAAGAAGTACCTTTGAGAAAAGAGAACAAAAAAACATCAGAACCTAAACCAGCTTGTGGGTACCCAAATGCTGAATCTACCAAAATCATGGAGTTTGAGCCCATTCCAGACCAAGAGGACACCACAGAGTTAGAAGAGAGGAGCATTTCACCCGTATCATCTCACTCAGAATTGCCACAAGAACTAGAGTCTTATGAAGTAAAAGAGTCAATTGAGCAAAGTGTAGATCCTCCTGTAGCCACTGTACATGAAGAAAAAGAAGGCAACACAGGCCAGGAGCCAACAATACCAGGATTTACAACTGACCCACTGTTTGATCTGAAGGAACAGAATGTGGATGACCTGGACCCAGATTTATGGAATGATAGTGGGGAGAGTTTTTCATTCACTGATGAATCTCCAAGGTCAAGCAGCCGAGTAACACAACGTGCTGTTCTTGATTATCCACTTTTTGAAAAGGAAATGTCTGTGGATAAGTCTGATAAACTGAGTTCCTGCAACTCAAGTGAAAGTGGTCTGACTGAAGAAGAACAAACAGAATACACTGTAAACCCAGAGGAAGATGAAGAATCAGAAACCTATGGTCCACACTCAGGAAATGAAGACCTCAGTGGAAACAAGCTCTCCACTCTGGAGCAAGATGCTTTAACTGATGAGCCAAGCGCAGGTGCACGTTTCAGACAAGATACTATTACGCTGGACCCATCAGATGTACATATGACCTTTACTCGAGAGGATAGTTTTAATGATGGGCCATTTACAGACCAGAATGAGAGCTCAGATTCTTCAGACATTGTACATATTAATGAAGAACCTATACAATACCATGTACATCCTGTTTATAGGACTGGTCGAAAGACTACCAGCCATTTGAGAATAGATAGATCAGGTGCCTGTAGCTCCAGTGAAGATGAAGAGGAACAAGCTGAAAATGCTTACTACCCAAGGAGACTTGAGATAAAAACAGAACCCGAGGTTTATAGCGAGGGTGTCATTACAGTCAAAAACCCAAACAACACACTCAGTATCAACTTTGACAACTCCTCAAGCAGCACAGATATAGAGGAGAAGACCGATAAGGAGGGAGAGAGAAAGAGCTTTAAACGACTGAGTGGAATGAGTTCACTGCTGTTTAACAGAAATGGGCCTGAAACAGAAAAGAAGGCTGTTCAAACCCCATCCAAAACAACAAACAAAGACAGTTGGAAAATTGGGGGTATCTTGGGCTTGTCCTTCAACAAACAGACAGTGGTACCCGAGGACAATGACAAACCAAACACTAATGAAGAAAGTTTCTTTGGAACAATAGGACAAGCCTTTGGTCGGCTGCCAAAACTTAAAAGATCTCTTCTGTTCTCAGTCTCTGATCCTAAATCTTCAATTCAGCATGGATGTACACCTGTGGTAGAGGCAGGATGTGACTCAAAGATATCCCACCTGAACTTCTCCTTAGAAGAAAGTTTCATTGGAAAGATTGATGTGCCTTTGGATCCAGTACCAAAAATAAAGAGATATCTCCTGTTCTCACATCCTGAGCCTCAGCCTTCAAGTCTGATACCGTCATCTATGGAGACAGAAAGAGCAACACCAGAGTTAAAGACTAAAACACAGTCTGTTAGATCTGAATCTACATCTGATGATAAGCTCAGTCCAACCTCTAGTGGAGATGATTTCTTTGGGCAAATAGGTGCATCTCTTAATGAAGTACCCAAGGTTAAGAGATACCTTCAGTTCACTCAGTCTGAATCTCAACCTTCAGCCAAGTCCCCATTGACATCTTTAAAGACAGAAAGTTTCATGCAAGTGTTAGGGACTAAAACAGAATCTGTGAAATCTGATACTTCATCTGAAGATGACATTGGTCCAAACTCTACAAGAGACAATTTCTTTGGGCAAATAGGTGCATCTCTTGATGAAGTGCCAAAGGTTAAGAGATACATTCAGTTCACACAAACTGTACCTCAACCTTTAGCTCAGTCCCCATCAACATCTTTAAAGGCAGAAAGTTTCATACCAGTGGTAGGGACTAAAACACAGTCTGTGAAATCAGATTCTTCATCTGAAAATGACATCAGTCCAGCCTCTACTGGAGAAAATTTCTTTAGGCAAATAGGTGCTTCTCTTGATGAAGTGCCAAAAGTGAACAGATACATTCAGTTCACACAAATTGAACCTCAACCTTCAGCCACGTCCCCATCAACATCTTTAAAGGCAGAAAGTTTCATACCAGTGTTAGGGACTAAACCACAATCTGTGAGATCCGAATCTACATCTGAAGATGACATCAGTCCAACCTCTACTGGAGATAATTTCTTTGGGCAAATAGGTGCATCTCTTGATGAAGTGCCAAAAGTAAAGAGATACATTCAGTTTACACAAACTGAACCTCAACCTTTAGCTCAGTCCCCATCAACATCTTTAAAGGCAGAACATTTCATACCAGTGTTAGGGACTAAAACACAGTCTGTGAAATCAGATTTTTCATCTGAAAATGACATCAGTCCAAACTCTACTGGAGACAATTTCTTTGGGCAAATAGGTGCATCTCTTGATGAAGTGCCAAAAGTGAACAGATACATTCAGTTCACACAAATTGAACCTCAACCTCCAGCCACGTCCCCATCAACATCTTTAAAGGCAGAAAGTTTCATACCAGTGTTAGGGACTAAACCACAATCTGTGAGATCCGAATCTACATCTGAGGATAAGCTCAGTCCAACCTCTACTGGAGACAATTTCTTTGGGCAAATAGATGCATCTCTTGATGAAGTGCCAAAGGTTAAGAGATACATTCAGTTCACTCAATCTGAACCTCAACCTTCAGTCAAGTCCCCATCAACATCTTTAAAGGCAGGAAGTTTCATACCAGTGTTAGGGACTAAACCACAATCTGTGAGATCCGAATCTACATCTGAGAATAAGCTCAGTTCAACCTCTACTGGAGACAATTTCTTTGGGCAAATAGGTGCATCTCTTGATGAAGTGCCAAAGGTTAAGAGATACATTCATTTCACTCAATCTGAACCTCAACCTTCAGTCAAGTCCCCATCAACATCTTTAAAGGCAGAAAGTTTCATACCAGTGTTAGGGACTAAACCACAATCTGTGAGATCCGAATCTACATCTGGGGATAAGCTCAGTCCAACCTCTACTGGAGACAATTTCTTTGGGCAAATAGGTGCATCTCTTGATGAAGTGCCAAAGGTTAAGAGATACATTCATTTCACTCAATCTGAACCTAAACCTTTAGTCAAGTCCCCATCAACATCTTTAAAGGCAGAAAGTTTCAAACCACTGTTAGGGACTAAACCACAATCTGTGAGATCCGAATCTACATCTGAGAATAAGCTCAGTCCAACCTCTACTGGAGACAATTTCTTTGGGCAAATAGGTGCATCTCTTGATGAAGTGCCAAAAGTAAACAGATACATTCAGTTTACTCAATCTGAACCTCAACCTTCAGTCAAGTCCCCATCAACATCTTTAAAGGCAGAAAGTTTCATACCAGTGTTAGGGACTAAACCACAATCTGTGAGATCTGAATCTACATCCAAGGCTGAGCGCAGTCCCACCTCTACTGGAGACAATTTCTTTGGGCAAATAGGTGCATCTCTTGATGAAGTGCCAAAGGTTAAGAGATACATTCAGTTCACTCAATCTGAACCTCAACCTTCAGTCAAGTCCCCATCAACATCTTTAAAGGCAGAAAGTTTCATACCAGTGTTAGGGACCAAACCACAATCTCTGAGATCCGAATCTACATCTGAGGATAAGCTCAGTCCAACCTCTACTGGAGACAATTTCTTTGGGCAAATAGGTGCATCTCTTGATGAAGTGCCAAAGGTTAAAAGATACATTCAGTTCACACAAACTGAACCTCAACCTTCAGCTCAGTCCCCATCAACATCTTTAAAGGCAGAAAGTTTTATACCAGTGTTAGGGACTAAACCACAATCTCTGAGATCTGAATCTACATCTGAGGATAAGCTCAGTCCAACCTCTACTGGAGACAATTTCTTTGGGCAAATAGGTGCATCTCTTGATGAAGTGCCAAAGGTTAAAAGATACATTCAGTTCACACAAACTGAACCTCAACCTTCAGCTCAGTCCCCATCAACATCTTTAAAGGCAGAAAGTTTTATACCAGTGTTAGGGACTAAACCACAATCTGTGAGATCTGAATCTACATCCAAGGCTGAGCGCAGTCCAACCTCTACTGGAGACAACTTCTTTGGGCAAATAGGTTCATCTCTTGATGAAGTGCCAAAGGTTAAGAGATACATTCATTTCACTCAATCTGAACCTCAACCTCCAGTCAAGTCCCCATCAACATCTTTAAAGGCAGAAAGTTTCATACCAGTGTTAGGGACCAAACCACAATCTCTGAGATCCGAATCTACATCTGGGGATAAGCTCAGTCCAACCTCTACTGGAGACAATTTCTTTGGGCAAATAGGTGCATCTCTTGATGAAGTGCCAAAGGTTAAGAGATACATTCATTTCACTCAATCTGAACCTCAACCTCCAGCCACGTCCCCATCAACATCTTTAAAGGCAGAAAGTTTCATACCAGTGTTAGGGACTAAACCACAATCTGTGAGATCCGAATCTACATCTGAGAATAAGCTCAGTCCAACCTCTACTGGAGACAATTTCTTTGGGCAAATAGGTGCATCTCTTGATGAAGTGCCAAAAGTAAACAGATACATTCAGTTTACTCAATCTGAACCTCAACCTTCAGTCAAGTCCCCATCAACATCTTTAAAGGCAGAAAGTTTCATACCAGTGTTAGGGACTAAACCACAATCTGTGAGATCTGAATCTACATCCAAGGCTGAGCGCAGTCCAACCTCTACTGGAGACAATTTCTTTGGGCAAATAGGTGCATCTCTTGATGAAGTGCCAAAGGTTAAGAGATACATTCAGTTCACTCAATCTGAACCTCAACCTTCAGTCAAGTCCCCATCAACATCTTTAAAGGCAGAAAGTTTCATACCAGTGTTAGGGACTAAACCACAATCTGTGAGATCTGAATCTACATCCAAGGCTGAGCGCAGTCCCACCTCTACTGGAGACAATTTCTTTGGGCAAATAGGTGCATCTCTTGATGAAGTGCCAAAGGTTAAGAGATACATTCAGTTCACTCAATCTGAACCTCAACCTTCAGTCAAGTCCCCATCAACATCTTTAAAGGCAGAAAGTTTCATACCAGTGTTAGGGACCAAACCACAATCTCTGAGATCCGAATCTACATCTGAGGATAAGCTCAGTCCAACCTCTACTGGAGACAATTTCTTTGGGCAAATAGGTGCATCTCTTAATGAAGTGCCAAAAGTAAACAGATACATTCAGTTCACACAAACTGAACCTCAACCTTCAGCTCAGTCCCCATCAACATCTTTAGAGGCAGAAAGTTTTATACCAGTGTTACGGACTAAACCACAATCTGTGAGATCTGAATCTACATCCAAGGCTGAGCGCAGTCCAACCTCTACTGGAGACAATTTCTTTGGACAAATAGGTGCATCTCTTGATGAAGTGCCAAAGGTTAAGAGATACATTGATTTCACTCGATCTGAACCTAAACCTTCAGCCAAGTCCCCATCAACATCTTTAAAGACAGAAAGTTTCATACCAGTGTTAGGGACTAAACCACAATCTCTAAGATCTGAATCTACATCTGGGGATAAGCTCAGTCCAACCTCTACTGGAGACAATTTCTTTGGGCAAATAGGTGCATCTCTTGATGAAGTGCCAAAAGTAAACAGATACATTCAGTTCACACAAACTGAACCTCAACCTTCAGCTAAGTCCCCATCAACATCTTTAAAGGCAGAAAGTTTCATACCAGTGTTAGGGACTAAACCACAATCTGTGAGATCCGAATCTACATCTGGGGATAAGCTCAGTCCAACCTCTACTGGAGACAATTTCTTTGGGCAAATAGGTGCTTCTCTTGATGAAGTGCCAAAAGTAAACAGATACATTCAGTTCACACAAATTGAACCTCAACCTCCAGCCACGTCCCCATCAACATCTTTAAAGGCAGAAAGTTTCATACCAGTGTTAGGGACTAAACCACAATCTGTGAGATCTGAATCTACATCTGGGGATAAGCTCAGTCCAACCTCTACTGGAGACAATTTCTTTGGGCAAATAGATGCATCTCTTGATGAAGTGCCAAAAGTAAACAGATACATTCAGTTCACACAAACTGAACCTCAACCTTCAGCTAAGTCCCCATCAACATCTTTAAAGGCAGAAAGTTTCATACCAGTGTTAGGGACTAAACCACAATCTGTGAGATCCGAATCTACATCTGGGGATAAGCTCAGTCCAACCTCTACTGGAGACAATTTCTTTGGGCAAATAGGTGCATCTCTTGATGAAGTGCCAAAAGTGAACAGATACATTCAGTTCACACAAACTGAACCTCAACCTCCAGCCACGTCCCCATCAACATCTTTAAAGGTAGAAAGTTTCATACCAGTGTTAGGGACTAAACCACAATCTGTGAGATCTGAATCTACATCTGGGGATAAGCTCAGTCCAACCTCTACTGGAGACAATTTCTTTGGGCAAATAGGTGCATCTCTTGATGAAGTGCCAAAGGTTAAGAGATACATTCATTTCACTCAATCTGAAACTCAACCTTCAGTCAAGTCCCCATCAACATCTTTAAAGGCAGAAAGTTTCATACCAGTGTTAGGGACTAAACCACAGTCTGTGAGATCTGAATCTACATCTGGGGATAAGCTCAGTCCAACCTCTACTGGAGACAATTTCCCTGGGCAAATAGGTGCATCTTTTGATGGAGTGCCTAAAGTGAAGAGGTACATTCAGTTCACACAAACTGAACCTCAACCTTCAGGTCTGCTACCATCGTCTATGAAAACAGAAGGAGTCACAAAAGGACAGTCTAGGAGATATAATTTAACATCTGAGAATGAGCTCAGCTCAACTACTAAGGAAGGTAATTTCTTTGGGCAAATAGGTACATCACTCGATGAAGTGCCAAAAGTGAAGAGATACATTCAGTTCACACAATCTGAACCTCAGTCTTCAGCTGAAACACCATCAACATCTTCCCATTCAAAAAGAGTCACACCAACGTTGGCAACAAAAATACAATCTGTGAGATCCGATCCTCCATCTGAGGTCGAGCTCACTACAACCTCCAAGGGAGACAGTTTCTTTGGGCAAATTGATGGAGTACCAAAACTGAAGAGATACATTCAGTTCACACAATCTGAGCCTCTTTCTCAAACTCTGACACCTCCAAATGAACCAAAGATCCATGCAGGCACGCTAATAAACATTAATTCATCATCTGAAGATGGTGTCAGAGCAGATGCTGATAAACACAGCTTCTTTGGGCAAATTGACACATCTCTTGACGGAATACCAAAAGTAAAAAGATACCTTCAATTCACACAATCTCAACATTTGACTCAGCCTTCATCCCAGTATTTGGACACACAAATAGCTACACCAGAGCTTTTGACAAAAACAGAATTACTGCAAACCAGTTCTTCACCTCATGATGTCAAACTAATTAACAAAGACAGTTTCTTTGGGAACACAGACACTCCTCTTTATGGAATTCCGAAAATAAGAAGATACATTCAGTTCACCCAGTGTGAATCTCATTCTTCAGACTACACCTCTGATAATGAAGCAAAGCCAAGCAGCAACAAAGATAATTTCTTTGAAGGAATATATGTATCTCCTGATCATATACCAAAGGTAAAGAGATCTCTTCAGTTCACACAGTCTGATCCAAAACTTGAAAATCAGGTTTTTTCACCATCTTTAAACAAAGAAAGAGTCACTACTGAGTTTGTAACAAAAAGAGAACCAGTTAGTTCCAGTTATTCAGCTGACAAAGACATCAGGCCAAACAACCAAGACAGCTTATTTGGTCAGTTGAATACATCTTTTAATGGACTTCCAAAAGTGAACAGATACATTAAGTTTTCACAAACTGGAGTTTGCCCTCCAAATACAAATACTAAATACCCAAATACAGAAAGGCTCAGTGAATCTGATTCCTTACCTGAGAAAGAGTTCAGTACCACTACCATAGGAAGCAGTTCCTTGCAAATAGGTACATCTCTTGATGAAGTTCCAAAGGTAAAGAGGTACATTCACTTCACGCAATCTGAACCCCAAATTCTGTCACCACACCCTCACACCCGAATTCCAATATCCACACCATCAGATAGAAGTGTAGAATCAGTGGATTCTGAGGTAAATTTCACTGTAAAAGATGAAGATTCCTTCAGGCAAATACCCGTGTCTTTCAGTACTCTACAAAGGCCAAAACGGTCTCTTATTTTTACAACTTCTGATCCACAGAATGAAAATCAGATACAAGCTCGTTCACCAATACATGATTCATCATTTGATGTGAAAGCAGCCACAGAAACAAGTAGGTTAGAACAACTTTCCAGGCCTAAAAGGCCCCTCTTTTTCTCCAATTCAGATCCTTATGGGCAATCTCACCAACTATTTACTTCATCACAACCAGAATTAGCTACACCAGAGTCAATAGAATCAAGGTTGTCAAGTTTGGGTGCCCCCCTCAGCACTGAAAGCAGTGACTTCTCCCCTTACAACTTACCCATGCCCACAAGAACCCTGCAATTCCCCACCTCAAAAGGACTTTATGAGCCAGTCACTGACTTAGACCAAGTCCCCAAACTGAGAACGAGTCTAGGGACAGACATTCCACTTCAGGATGAAAACAAAACACCCCCAACCTCCTCAGGAAAGGATGATGCCAGAGAGTATCTTAGAGACAGCTCTCAAGCTCGTCAAAGGCAGGAACGGAGGAGATTACTGTTTCAGCAGAAAAGGAGAGCCATGGATGGGTTCAGTTTGACCTCTCCTTCTTCCACATCACAAGAAAGGGATAAGCAAGGAGGCTCATCAGATCATTATGAAAGCACAATCCCACCTTACTCAGAGCACTCTCTCCGTGGTGTTCCTACAGTACCTGCAAGCTCTGCAAACCACATGGATGCAAAAGGCCCAGGATCCAAAGGGTTAAGTGCCAAGCGCATCTCATCCCTAAAATACAAATCAGCCCTGCATGAAGGAACTTATAAAAGTCGTAGTGATGTTTAAAAGTGGTTTGATTATGCTTTTTAAACATTTTATATGTATGTGTACAGATTTCTAAACATTTCATGTGTTATGTATATTTGTAAAATTTTATAATTTACTGTTATGCAGTTGTGCAAGCTGTTCACAACAGACCACTAAAAAATGTTATTTTCTTTGCATACCAAGGCTAATTAGAAGAGTTAAGAAGGCACAGACTGCTTTCCATTTGCTTATGAAACTCAAAGTATACACTTATAATGAACTGTGCTGTCTTTTAATTATATAAATTAATTTCAGTATTTAATTCTTTTTCTCATAATTTACTTTGAAGTTGGTCACAAGACCTCCACATTAAAGAAAACAATAAGAAGGAATGAATGTTACCTATGAAATTGACCTATATGATGATGCCAGTCATAAAATAAATCCAAAGATAACTGCAACATTGTTGTTATCTTAACAATATCTAGAACTCTGGGAAGAATATTAACACTGTCATTTTTGTCACATATACTTTAAGAATGTTCCATTCTTAGATAGCAGCATGTACATAGCACAAGGCATATACCATCATAAGATAATGCAAGAATCCAAATTGCTAGGGGTGTAAAGATACAGCAATTTGATGCATTTCAGTTCTCAATACTAGATTCACAATTAGATTTTCTCTTAATATTTTGAACAAAACTAAATGTACATTTAGGGCATTCGGCAGACGCTCTTATCCAGAGTGACTTACAATTTGATCGTTTTACACAGGTAGGCAAAGGCAGTGTTAGGAGTCTTGCCCAAGGACTCTTATTGGTATAACGTAGGTTGCTTACCCAGGGAGGGAGTGAACCCCAGTCTACGGCATAGAAGGAGGTGTTACCCACTACACTATACCACTAAACTAAGATTGTTTCTATCTTTGTTCTTGCACAGCTTACTAGTAAACATGCTGGTGTGGGTTGCTGACTAGCACCGATGGTTTGCAAACTCTGACGCCATAATTAACGATCTTTCTCTATGATGCACATTTTTGCATTGCAATATTGGGATGCACTGCAACATCCCTACAAATTACTGACAAAATGTACAACAAAATGGCACGACAACTCGTTAATAAACCCCTTTATATACTGAATGTTGATAGGTTACAGTGAAAACAAACACATTTACACACATCCATACATATATACAGTCAGATGAGATTGTTCAGCCTCCTGCATTAGCCAACGTTCCCACCAAAAACAACAGTCATAAGAAAGAGATCCGCTTCTTCTTTTCAAACCACCATGCTATCAAAGCAGACCCTTCTTCGTTCAGAGGCACAGACAGCTATATGAAAGAACCTACAAAAAGTGTCTATGGCAATGTTAGACTGTATGGTCTCTAACTAGCATGCACATCACAGTGAGTTTGTTGCCGTTTCACGTAAAATTTGGTAATATGTACCTAAATCTAGCATAAACATTTAACCCTTCCTTAACAGTTCACAAATTTGGGGTCGCCACCTGATATCCCTCAGTCCTGGTAAACTCTGTAAAAGGAACAAATGTTGTAAGCATCAACAACCAATACCATAAACCCAAGAATGTTATACCTCTAGAGGGGTGTAAAGGTTACACAAGTTGTTCAGCACTTTAATACATGTACAGTTTCATATATGAAAAGAAAAACATAGAAAGGTGAAGTTATTCCGGTCATGTACTGCATTCAAGTCAAGCCATTATTATGAACGTCTGATCATCGCATCACATTTTTCCCCAGTCTGATTTTCCAATTGTAATCATGTAGTGTAGTAATTGCAATTCCCAAAAAAAGCAGACAAAAAACAGACATCTGGTTCTGTTCTCATTTCATTGTACTGCAAGGAAGGTTCATTATTATCAGTAATAATAAAAAAAAAATAAATAAATTACTTGTGGTCATCTATATATTTGCATCATGTTTTTATGCATTTATTGCCTTAATGTATTTCTGACCAACATGGCGACCATGAACATTAGTGTAATTAACTTTTAAAGTAAAAAAAAAAAAAGGATGTAGAAACCAAGGGGAGGGACTGCATATAATGTAGGAAAACATTTTTAAATTGTGTATCTGTCAGAAAGCAAACGGACAAAAACAAAAAAACAATTCATCAGTCATTATTATGGAAGTGACATGAGCAGCACTTGAAACTGAAAATGCCACAATGACGTCTAGGAGTTCAGCACTTGGTGAAAATGGTGGGAGAGTAAAGTAATGCAAAGAGGAACATCTCAGCAGATGAGGTTACAAGTGTGTTTAAGCTCTAAATACCGTCACACAACCATGATTTTCATAAAGCATTAAGACTGCATGACTGTGGAAAAAAATTAAGCACAAGTTCACAAATACCTGTACAAAAAAGGAAAAAAAAAAAAGAACCATAAAATTTACAAACAAAAAAAATAAAGGAAAGAAAGACTCATTCATTCACAGACAGCTCTGATGGGAGCATGCATGCACACGTAGTTTCACTCCAATGACAAGTTAGCTTCACACCACAGCCAGAGACAACAGAACATTTTACAAATGTAACTAGAGTGTTAAGTGGTTGCTATGCAACAGTCACTATGGGTTTAAGGTCTTTGCTGTGGAAGCTTATTACATTTCAAGAGTCTCCATAAATTGTTTTACCTAACGTGATCCATGAGTAACCGTTCAAGGAACACATGTTTGGAACAAAGGGAGGAGAAAATGGAAATGGAAAATGGAGAATATATGCTTGCAGCGGTCAATTTTAGGGAGATCTATTGGACTTCGGCCTCAACTGGAGTCTGCACCCACACAGACGCCACCGGAGGGCAATAAATCAAGTCTATGGGTGCAGCAATGTCTCCAATCTAAAGTCACTAATCACACAAGATTCAATGAAAATGTCCTTCGATTAGGGACAATAACACATCTGAGTCTCAAAGACTCCCCAAAGTGAAAGCAGCATGAAGAGTAAGCGAAAAATGAAATTTAACGCTTATGATCTGTGGCTAGAGAGTCCCAAGGTGGCCAGAGAAGAGCATGCTGGGAGCAGGATCCAAGACTTACTTTTGGCAAGTCTTCCCTGTTTTTAACTGTTAACCTCGCTTATGTACTGTCAGCAGTTTTACTCCTTTTCACCATGCTGTCTCAAATCACCAGCCACAGTAGAGAAAAGAAAACACAAGAACTAGAAGATGGAGCAGGCCTACAAATAGACGAAGAGTGGCAACATAATTAACTCAATTGTCATTTAATAACAACCATTTTCTCACTGTTGGCACTTGATCAGATCTCTGACGTATTGATCATCTGAAATTCATTTTGCTTTATCGTCTTTTCGAGTCATTACAGGTTTTGGTAAGATGAACAGCGTCAACTTATCCGATTAAATCAACTATAAAAACAAGCGAAGGACACAAAACGTCTTTAGCGTCTAATCTTTAAAGGCAGTTTCATGCCTAATGCCAGGTGCTAAAGAGGTACAGAAGCGATCTGGTGTACAGAGAGAGGGAGTCCTCAGACTCTCACTTGCATGTGGGGCGTCCCATACACAGTGAGACACTGTACACAATGTAGCTATGCTAATTTGCTCTGGCATCCTTCCTCCAGTATGGAGACCACCATAGGCAACGCTGGAAGCATGACAGCCAGCGAAAACACATAGGTAAACTATGTGTCATTCAGAAATGAAGAGAAGGAGAAGTGTGATCAGTCGAACCAACTCAATGCACAGATACATACACTACTATTCAGAAGTCAGAGACCACCCTTCATTTATTTCATTTCCTGTCAAAATGGCCACTAAGTAAAAGTCCTTCATTGTTCAAGAAATGTTTCTAAGGCTGTCAGGGTATAAGATGATCCAATTACATAAGGAAGAGGCAAGTCAAAGGATAATCGGTGAAAAAACAGGGCATTCCGAAACTGGAGTTTAAAAGATATGGAGAAAACGGGACGCCTAACAACTGTGTAACCTGCTAGACCCCCAAAACTGTCCCCATCAGTACTCAGTAAACAGTAGTCAAAGTTTTTATCTTTGAGAGAGAGGAGAAAAATCAAGCTCCACTCTGGTCTCAAGTGCTTCCATCCATCCTTCCACTGTGAGAAACAACTCAACACTATGGGTCTGAAAGGATGTGTAGCTGTCAAGAAGCCCTTCCAGAGAAAAGGAAGAATAATTCTGGACAGCAAATAAAGAAGCTGCTGGTGTTCTCAGAACCTCAACATCACTGAATGTGTATGGGATTACTCGAAATGAGAGAAGCAAAAAAAATGCAACCGACCTCGAAGACTGAACTTTGGAGGCGTGGAAAAGTATCCCTGCAGATTTCTTAAAGAAAAAGCCTGAAAGCAAGTGTGCTGAAAAGAATGGACACTGTAGTAAAGGCAAAAGTGGGATAGACTGAATACTGAAAAATGTGATCTATGTACTTGTTCAGGCTTCTGTGTACATGATACATGCACACTAATTTAATGGCCATTTTGACTGAAATTTAAATAAATGGAGGATCGTCTCTGCGTTTTGCACAGTACTGTATAACCTGTTCTCTTCAGAGTGTGGGCCTCATTTATCAAATATGTGCAAGGTCAAAATTCATCCTCAGCAATCATTCATATGATGACCAAACATTACACAGTTTTGCTTGTCCTTTTTTCCTGTTGGGAAAACAGCAGAAAATGACACACAGCATCATTATTAAATTCAATTAATTTAAATAATGTGGCTATTTTACGGCTATTGGCTATTATAATGGTCTCAGAGTAATCTGAACTATGAAAAAACCATCCAACACTTACAAAATATTCTGAAAGAAGGGTCCATTTATGACATATTTCATTTCTAGCTCACAATTCAGCTATAAATGTGTCTGGGATTTATGTAACTCAAAGGAAGATTCGTTTTTTATAAATTATTTCTCTTGCAGGCCTGTATATTCTTGTCTCCTGAAACTAGTAAAGTTTTACCACAGAATATAACAAACAGGAGAATGTCCAGTGTTTGACCACCATGCCTTCAGGTGAAATTCATCAGCAACAGAGGATGAAAGCTGCTTCTGAATGATACGTTCCGAACCACATATCTGTCCTGACTTGAGTGTATTTGATAAATGAGGCCCTGTGAGTACAACACAGCACTCTTACGTTTGAGCCTTAAGAATAAAAAAGGGGGATAAGTTTCGAGTTAGCCTGGCATGTTGGGTATCTGAACCCTCTTTAACACCCATTAAAACATTCACAGTAAGATGACACGTCACAGTAGGGTGGGAGGGAGCGGCACTGAGGTTGGCTGTGTGCTTTCCCATGATGCACTGCATGTTGGGGAGGACATCAGGTGGGGATTTAGGGCCGAGGTGCCGTTTCTCCTACATATCACCAGTGGTGACCCTCACATAAGAATGGTGAGAAGGGCAACATGTGAACTGGTGCATTACAGAACACTCACTCACTCGCTCGCTCTCTCTCACTCTCTCTCGCTCATTCACAAACACGCACATACGCTCTTCACTGGCAGGACACCTACAAATTGCCCCAGCCGGTTCAGGTTTGTTATGCTTTGTTTCTTTGTGGACCGTTGTTTCTAAGCCATTTCTGTCTTTGCCGCCATGGTGCTTGTTGTCGATTAATTTCTAGTTGTCGGTGGTCGAGGCAAAGAAGCTGTCGCTATGACATTTCTCTGTCTTTGTACCATTCCACAAATTCATCCAACAACACTGGCCCTATAAAGACAGAGTCATAGAGGGAAGGTAAGAAAAAATCTAATGTCTGAAGATGTATTTTTATACACAAATGACCTGTTGTCGGAATAAAACCTCATATCTCCAAAATGGTAACTTTACAGGAGAAGGAAAAAACCTACTTTACTTTTAATGCAAGTCAATGGAACCAGACAATTTTCCACGTCATTTTGGGCCGTTTCTTTTGGTCCATTCGTCATGAAATTTACACACAATGTAAAGGGTAACAGGTATTTTTAAATTAGGTCAAAAACTGAAAAATGACAAAAATGGAAATATGAGGTGCTCTTCCGACAACAATGATATATCAGTTAATGTATGTGCATGTCCACTTACAGGCTCCATCCTCGTCATAGTTACTGAGATCTAAGTTGATGGTCCTACTGAATTCTAGAACATTGCACCACTGGTCTTTATTTACTACTTTATACTTGGATTGCTGAAAAAGAAAAAGACAAATATAAGCTGTGGTCACATATGAAACTGTTGATGAATAGCCAACTGTGTAGTATACAACAGGATTTGTTAACCGCTGGGCTACAGACCACAAGTGGGCCATCTTGTGGTCAATGGGCCTGTAGTGAAGGTGAGCAAGTGGTCCTCAGTGAGGCATCAATTGCACTTAAAAATATACCACCCCGGACTTTCACTCCACCCACTCACAAGCAACTGGTGTAAATTGCACTGCATATAAGATATGCATTTGGGTTTATGACCTACCATTGATCCTGATTTTTGGTATACATCAAGCTAATGTTATCGTAATCTGTTGATTGTTTCGGGGTACGCACTCAAATATCTGTGTTGAAAATTGCCCCAAAAAAAAAATTTTTAAGCAAAAAAAGTTTTGTTTTTCTGTGAGCCTTCATGCTCTCTAATGATAAACAGGTGGGCTTTCAGGAAGAAAAGGCTGAGAACTTCCAGTCTAGGAAACAGTACAAAAAAGTAACCATTTATTTGCTCACTAATACTACAAGAAACACTAATATTACAAGAAATAGAAATAATATTAATATAATAAGTAGTAATTTTACATATTTCAGTATATTTGTTTAACCATTTCCAAACTTCCCTTCCTTGCTGTGCTGTATTATTTGTTGTTATAATCCAACACCTGGTTTGGCCATTTATTACTGCTTTATGTCAATTCAAATATGCTGGTGATGGAATTTATAAAATCCATGCGATGGCTGGGGGCTTTGGGCAGAAATCAGGAACCAAAATTGGTTCTTCAAACTAGCTCATATCAAATACTTTTTCCAGAATACAAATGTTTGTTACTTTTTCCTATATTTATTGTGATTTAACTGCCTTTTTACTGACTTTTTACAGTCCTATACATTATATGTACAGTAATGTACATTTACCCATTTCTATTTATTTTTAATATAGTTTAATATATTGTGGGGAAAAATGAAACAAAATATAAAAATGTATGCACAAAATGTATAAAATATGAAACTTTTGCACAGGCCACATTTTATGTTTTTTATGGTTCATGTTTTATGTTAAATTTAGCACATAAACAGTAATTATCCATTAAAATATGCAAAACTGTGGTTTCTGTAGATCACAGGTGCCAAATCCTTGTCCTGGAGACCAACCAGCCTGCAGTGATCAGCATCAACCTTAATCTAACATACCTGATCCACTTAATGAAGATTTCCAGGATTAGAGCAAAGTGTGTTGGATCTGAACTCTCCAGGATCTCCAGGACAAGGCTTGGGCTCCCCTGCTGTATAGGATGTCTACTTACTTTTACATAACAGATCAACTTTTGCATTTCACTGTGTGTGAAATGTATATATGTGTGTGTGTTTAATTTTAATTATTTATTTATTTTTAAATAATAGATTGACAAAAAACAAATTAACATTAGGTGTGCATGATCTCAATCCATTTATTATTTTTATTTTGGTCAAACTGTTGCAATTTTATCTTAAATAATGTTAAATAATAATTATCTTAAATAAATAACATTAATAAATAATGTGAATTACAGGTATTACGATTACAAGTGCAGTCACACAGTATTTACTGTTGTTTCCTCTTACTTTTGATGTATCACCTTATCTGGTTTCATGTAATTTAACTACTTTTTCACATAGGATTTTTAAATGCCAGTTTGGCCTTTTAAAGAGAAAATAATGTTATTACTATTGCAGTTTTGGCCAACAGAAAGTACTGGAAATGTGTGAGCGTATATCATGCATTCACTTAGCCCACATAGTGTGAGGCCAAACAATCTGGCCATAAAGTGGCTGTAAATATATCAAAATCAGCCATAAAAACCTCATTATCTGTTTTTGCCTTTCAAAGTAACTAAATTCTGAACCAACAGTGCAAAACTGAGACATTCAGAATTCACTACTGATTAGCTAAAACATTTTTAGAGTCTGTGAAATCATTGGTGGAGAATGGGAAAGAACGGGAGAACAGGGAAGTTAGTGTAAATAAGGTCAAACTGACGTCATACTGTACCTCTAGAAACTGGTTAAACACAGGAAACAGTGGCCAGGTCTTCCCCAAAAGAAGTCCCAGCATGCACTTGGCGGTATTTAAGTCTAAACTTCTCTGATCCTTCTCCTGCACATTAATAGACAGAGAGGTCAGATGTCAGAGGTTATGCATTATATGTCCAAAAGTTTGTAGACACCTGTTCATTTAACATTTCACCTGAAATCAACAGGATTAACAGGGTGTTTGTAGCTCTTTGCTGCAGTAACAGCCTCAACCTTTCTGAAAGGCTTTACAATAGATGTTGGAACATCGCTATAAGGATTGGATTGTATTCAGCCACAAGAGCATAGGTGAGGTCAGGTACTGATATTGGATGATTAGTTCAGGATAAAAACACTAGATCAACTCATCCGAACAGTATTGGATGGAGCTCTATTACTCCAGAGAACACAGTTTCACTGCTCCACAGCCCAATGCTGGGGGTCGTTATACCCCTCTAACAGATGCGTGGCACTGGGCATATTGACCTTAGGCTCATGTTGGGCTGCTTCAGAGGGTTCCATTCTATTGCAATGCTTTTTGTTTGAGGTCATACAAGCTGTATATGCACAAGTAACAGCCTGTCTGAGAAAAGGGTGCACCTTAAAGTAGCTGAATTCACTACGAAGGGAGTGAATCTGGGTACTTATGCACATATAATGCACCATAAATAGACTGAAATAAAAGCATGCAGTGTATAGCTGATATCTAAACACTCAGTTTCAGTTATATTCGATATATAGCGAATGTCACTATAAAGTTCTAGAGCAGAGGTCACTAATAGGCGGACCGCCGTCCGTGTCTGGACCCAGACTCTGTCCTATGCGGACCTGGACCTATAACCGATAAACTATGGAGAATTATTTAATTTCAACGGTGTGGTCCTATTTTAATCGGCGTAGCTTTTCTAGGTACCGGTTTAGCGGAACGGGAGACTCACAGACCAATCGCATGCATTGTAAATATCACACGTAACGTAACTCAGCCAATCAGATCTGTGCATTACAATGAGCACTGAGACTCGAGTGAGTGACGCAAACACGAGAGGAATGAGGTGAGAAACAGCAGTTGGAGAAGAAAGTGAGTCAGAGGGAGGTTATTTCACATGACATGCTCTAAAAAGAGAAAACTGACAAAAAATGTTGTTGAAATATGACTGAATTGTACTTTATTTGATTTGATATTCAGTTGTTGACTGTATAAGATGTTGATTTAACTACTAGGCTACTTCAGTAAACAGTATATGGCACTGAATCATAATGCAAGTTAGTCATTATGATGTTCCGGACCTTTGCTTGAGGAAATTTTCTCTAACTGGACCTTATTGAATTTTTATTAAAGACCCCTGTTCTAGAGAGTCAGAAGAACAATTATCCTTGAACAAAGTACCAAAGAGCCTGAACTTAATTTGCAAGGTGGCTGCAAATGAAAGTAAATACTATTACTGTCCATATCCTTCAGAGTTCTTCCATCAAAACTTGGAATCCTTTAACAGCACTGAAGTAAACACTCGGGCTTTGTTCACAGTCTGTTTTAAGTGAAATACCAACTTCTCAATAAGCCTCATTCATAGGGGCCCCTTTTAAAGGCTGTAAACATGTGTAAGTAACATAATCTATTCATTTGTGCTTTCTCATGGTTTTCATCTCATTTCAGTGTTGTCTGTTGTCGAATTGTTGTCAATTGTTGTCTCTTCCGGTATACCTCAGATTTTACCTATATATATATATATATATATATATATATATATATATATATATATATATATATATATATATATATAGGTAAAATCTGTACTTTGAAACTTTTCCTTAGCACCTCTCATACAAAAAAAAAAATTATAAAAAAATATATATATTCTTTTTTTTTTGTATGAGAGGCGCTAAAGAAAAACAGATATAGGGACCTACAATCCAAAATAAAGCACCACTGTCTGGCACAGTCTTGTTTTGTAGCCTGTCTATTAAAGGTAGAAGTAACGGTAACCAAGTAACTCAGACTTTCTGCTGCATTTTGCCACTGCTGAGCATGAAGAGGTGATTCAAAGATGAAGATAACTAGGACAGATTAGCATTCACTCACCCGGGCAAAGTCAAAGGCGTATCGGTAAATAAGCTTGAAACTGGTGGCATCGTTGAGGATAGACCTCAGGTAGTCTAGAGAGTTCCTGAGTTTTTCAGTTGAGTCACATCTGACGGCAGAGCGAGAGAAAGAGAGCGATTAAGAGGCACAGAAAGAACTTGGCATGAAAAGAGTATTGTAGGACATTTAAGTAACAGTATTGTCGATTTCCAGGTGTTGATTGTGCTCGCATAGATATATACACCTCAATTAAATTTGGTAATAATGGAGCATGTTCGCTTACACTGCCGTTCAAAAGTTTGGAATCACCTGTCATATTAAGAATGCTTGTTTTATATACAATAATAACTTGTACAATCTGCATTACAAGCTATTTGCCAAAAGGTACTTTGAGATATTTTAATCAATATTTTAAGACTTCTATGAAAACTGCATTTACATTACATTGACTCCTAGATATATTGTTTTGGTGTAACTTGATTCTTAATGCTATACAGCTTTCTCAGTCATTGTACAATCTTCTACAGCTATGTTCATCATTCCGGACACATTTAAAGTTTCATTATTTTCATTTATGGCGTCCTAGTGTTCTATAATTTTTTTTAAACCTGTGAATTTGCACAGGAATAACATATTAGATTTATTTAATACACTTGTCTACAACCAAATCAGTTTTATATTATTTAAAACAGTAATTCAAAACTTTTGAACAGCAGTGTATTTTCTTCTAGCAAATCAAATAATCATAGAGACTTGATAAGATAGTATTTACAGCTTCGTCTTCAGATGTGGTGCGAATAAACAAGTTGTATAAGTATGTAAAACGATAAGCAAAAAGTGCTGAATGCTGCGTTCGTGACACCTGGAAACTCAGACGTCTAAACTTTACAGCTTCCCAACTTCAGCTATTCGAGGTCAGAAAAAATGGATGCTCACAGCACTCTAGCACTTGTTTAGGTGGCGTGAAGTTCGATTAAAAATAACGTACAGTACGACTTAAGCGTGCAATTTTCTAAGTATCCTCCTGCATTTAGATAGATCACACAAATAGCCCATCATACACAAAAAGAAAGTCTGTCTAAAAATCTGAAAATATGCTGTTCCTTATTGTTCTATAGGCACTGTCATGTTGACGTGATGTCATGCAATTGCAGCTCTGAGAACCCAGAGTTCTTGAGAAACTCTGAGTTGAGTGGCAATTCAAATGTTTTTTTCCTACATGGAAGTCAAAAACTTCCTAGCTCCAACTTTGTCCTGAACACATCATAAGACTGTCTTACTGCAATGAGCCCATCCCCTTGAGCCACTCCTGCAGGGTGAAGTAGCCCATACTCTGGGCATTCAGCTTCCAGGCCAACACCAGCATCACCACCTGTACACACACACAGACACGCATAAAATCAGAGTCTCACACTCAGATGTATTTATAGGCCTCATAGATAATAAACAAGTGTGGAGTTTACAGATGCTGAATAAGGGTAAGGTTAGTCTGGAGAATGGTGACACTACTCACAAACCTGACTATCACAGGGGGAAATGCTGAACAACCATGTTCATCACCAATTTTTCCTCTTATTGTTGAAAAACAGAAGGACAAATATGTTTAAACATCAACTTTAGTTATAACTGGAACAGACGAATTTTAGGATTATAAGAACAGATGTTTGGGCCCAGCTGTTATTGTCCCTATCTCCCTTATTTTAAATCAAATGATCCAATTTAACAAATCATAATGCATTCCACTACGGGACACTAAATGCTCTTTTACAATGGGGCCTATGTTTCAAAGTAATGTATAATACAATACACGAGCATGTAATTCTATAATAATCACCTGATGACCTCACTGAGATCAACTGCCAATGCTTTTCAATGCACAGTGGAGCTAATGGCTGGCTTTCCCTGGAATTCATCTCAAAGACCACAGCAAAATAAAAATCTAATTTAGCAAAAACAAGCGCAAGGGAGTTTCCATTGTGGATTAGTTCCAGGGTCCACAAGTCTGTTAAACAACCCATATCCTACATTTTTCTTGTACTTAATTCTTCCCAGATGTCCATTTATGACATGTGTGTGATTTTAAGTATTAAAAAACAGTCTCAAACTCTTTTCATGTGACCATTCTCCAAGCTCTTATTATCCCTTGGAATAAGACAGGCTGTTTTTTTTACAATACCTTTATGACATGTAAATGATGTCTGCTCTGATTGACTGTCCTGTGTTGTGCCACATTCAATAAGACACTCCTTGTAAGCTAAATGTGAAGGGGAGGGGCTAAACTGCTGCAGGCTGAATATGTAAATGCGTAGGTTTTTGTGACATCACATAAACAGTGCGTTCAAAACAGGCTTAGTTTCTATATGTGGACTAGGAAGCGAATGATATGCTTTGAAATGTTAACAACGTTTACATACTACTTTAAACTCTTTCATTTCAAAGAATTGATTTTCCAATTCGTTTTTCCCTGCTATGAGCCCTTTAAAGACCAAGGCCGAAGTGTCCTTCATTTTGCATATAATATTTAGCATGATGATGAGTGTCATACATTTTCTGGTTCCACTCCGATATCTTCACAGAATTTCTCCATGCCTTCTGGTCCAACCACGTCATCACAACCTGACCAATGCATACACAAACATGCAGACTTATAATAATTATCACTCCGCATTTCACATCATATACATGACCCTCTATCTAATACAAACCCATATGCATACCCATTTACCACTGTTACAATATATAGCACAGTGGGTAGCGCTGTCGCCTCACAGCGAGAATGGCCTGGGTTCGATCCCCGGCCGGGTGACCAGGGTCATTTCTGTGTGTATGTTGTCTGCGTGGGTTTCCTCCCACAGTCCAAAGACATGCAGTCAGGCCAACTGGACTTGGTAAATTGCCCCTAGGTGTGTGTGTGACTGTGTATGTCTGTCTGTCTGCCCTGCGATGGACTGGCGACCCATCCAGGGTGTATCCTGCCTTCCGCCCAATGACAGCTGGGATAGGCTCCAGCACCCCCCCGTGACCCAGAAGGATAAGTGGTTTAGATTGTGTGTGTGTGTGTTTATGCCAGTAAAACACTATTCAACACTGGAATAAACATAAATACAGTAAATACACCTCAATTTTTGTCTTCAAAAAGTTAATATACTGGTTAGAAAAACACAAGTTTGCTTCATGACTTCGCGGTGAACTCCAGCCGTTGTTCAGATTTGTTCAAATCCATCAGCAACACACCTGATTTAATTTAACGAAGGTTTGATCAGCTGAAGCAGGTATTTGTCTGTCCCATGTGATGTCGCTGTACGACCGCATCGCCACTTTCATGACCAGGAGAATCAAATATTTTTTACATACATTTTAATGTGAGAGCAGACATCAGAATATAAAAATCTCTACTCTGTAGTCCCCTATTTAGTCTTTTTATGTCAGTTAACCGAAATGACACTGTTTAATAACTTCAGTGTTTGGCAAGTAATATCAGTATTAACATTTGCTATGCAAAGGCTGTCAAAACTAATCAGCCGATCAACACGATGCTCACACAGAACCCTGCAGCCAATCCACACAGTTCACTGGCTCATCTAAGCCTAACAAACAAAAGTTATCAAACTAAGGCAATGACATCAGCTTTTATTTTATTTACATAAAACATTGCATTTTCTGTCTCCTATACACATACAGCTAGTTTTCCTCCTAAATCTCAACCGCTTGCCCATCCAGCGCTGAAGCAGCAGGCATCAGTAGCCTACTTTAACTTTATATTAACTCTATATTAACTTTACAGTAGGCGAGAGTAGCGTGAGGAGTCTCCCAGTCTCCCGTACTATTCTTGTTTATTAAACTTTAGAAGAAAACAGGGCGAAGTTCTTGAAATGGCCAATGGTAAATTGGAGGAATTGGTAGAATTCCTCTGATATCTAGATAGATATAGGCAAGTAAGCTCTCCTCTTATTTAGGACTGACAAGAAGTCTTGACGTGTTAGATTAACCATCGCCATAATTACAAAGTGACACTGGAATCAACGTCACTGAATATGAATATAATCAGTGGAGCATTAGAAACAGCCAACAGCAGCAGCAGCTCTATGCCAGCATCTCTACTGAAAGAACCATTGAGAAAAAAGTGAAATATATCGTAATATGTCTGTCACAAGCTTCAAAGAAAACATGAAACATCTCTTAGAAGCTTCAAATGTCTGCATTTAATCTAGAATGGCCGAAAAAGTTTATGCGAATTGTCTTTAGCTTAACTCTAACAAACTACTAAAATCCCATAGGGACATTAGCACAAATTGGCATTACCAAGGTGAGTTTTTCACTCATGATTTAACCGAGTTTTTAGCCCGAACTGAAGGCCCAGCTCTAACAGTCGTGGTTCATCACTGCATATCAAAATCGGTTATTCAAACATTTTTTTACACATGACTGTTTTTCAGAACTGAGATATCACTTTCTCGTATGTTTAAGGCTTTTACACAGCACTGTAAAAATGCCCATATCACCCATCCATAAACTGAAAGCAAGAGAAGAGAATGTACCTGCATACTCATAGAACCACTCCAGACATCTCTTATTGGAAAAAGCCTCGGCCTCCTGAATATGTGACGGCTCCTGTTTTCTGTAAACGCTGAAACCAACAGATAAGTCCAGTGAGAGGTCATAGCACACATACACTGACCCGTATGCATACATGTACACACACACACACCCCTCCCTCTATAGCAGTGGTGTCAAGCTCAACCACTAAAAGGGTCATATTAAAAAAAAATAAATAAATAAATAAAATAAAAAAACAAATCTGTGGGCCAGAACACCTGGGTTTTTTTGCTATAACCCAAGCTAACAATTGTTTATTCAAAATAAACAAAAACTTCAACAGTAAAATACAGACACTTATAGTAGACCTTGAAATACTACATTAATATTTGAAATATTCAAAATTTAAATGTCCCCAGGTGCTCAGTCTTTTAAACCCACCTATTTGCTTGAACTGGACACTTGGCATCCTTCCTTCACTCAGTTCATTAAGACTTGGGCTCAGTTTCTGAGCTGCTGAGCAAACGTTAAGTGTCTATTGTGTATAAGGCATATATTACATACGTATGTATGTAATGTTTATAATATAGTATGTTGGTTGAACTGCAGCTGAAACACAGCTAGTGTGTTTGGTGATGTGATTAGTGTAGAATTGTGTAGAATTGAGTTGTAACCTCTGTCCCCTAGACTGTTGTTGGGGTAGGAGAGTCAGACTGCACATTATGTTGCAGTGCATGCTGGGGATTGTAGTGCAGCGCATTGTGAAACGGCTAGTATTAACAGAAAATTAAAATACTTCTGCAGGCCGGATAGAGCCTTGTGTTTGACACATGAACTCTACAGGGATATCCATGGTTTACGGATGTATACATCCTTATATACATAATAACTGCAACAGCAATTTTATTTGGTTTCTAATAGGCAATATGAAAACTTTGTCACCGTTACCCATTTCTAGCCAAGCAATTAAAAATTCCAACAGTTAATAATATCAGCTGATATGATTTTATTTGGTCAAAAGTAATCAGATTCCATTTTAGTTAAACTCTGCTTTACTGACTGTGCTTTTATGACTGTTAATTATCAATAGGAAACTGTGAATAAGAAGAATTTTTTGTGCAACATTATCTTCATGTTAAGGTTAGGACATGTTTTATGTTCAAATGTACAAGTTCAGCCTGTATTGCTGCAATAGAAGTGAATAGGTGGTGACTGTCTGTTAGGAAATCTCTGTAGAGACAATCAATATCGGTACTTTTTCGGTGGGATTTTTTGCTGATACCAACAAAATGCACTGGACCTCAGTAATGGCCAACTGATATCAGATCCTAGTTTTTAAATTGGATTATGCAAATCAATCTACTCACTAAAATATTATACATTAAAGATTAAATTATATTAATATAATAGAAATATTATATTAATATTGTTTAAAAAATGAAATATTTTGATTTGCACTACTAGACTGATGGATGAACAGGATGAGTATAGACAACGTGTGTGTGTGGACAGACTCAAGGCTGCATGTGTGAGCTTATGAGTGAATGAGATGAATGGATGAGTTGTGACGTATACTTGTCCTGGCGGCTCTTCTTGGCAGACAGGTCATCTCCTGCAGTGGGCCTCCTCTTTTTCCTGGGGGGCATGGCTCGGGAGCAGCAGGCTAACAGAGAGAAAGACAAACAAATAGATTTGGTCAGTTGACTTTTTAGGCTGCTGGACAAAACCTTTCTGGACTAAGTAAGCGAAAAAGGTTGGTGAACATGGGCAAGTGATTAGGTCATTACCTGTGGCGTGAGTGTCTGGCCCAACGTCCTCGGTCAGATTCTAAGAGGAGAAAGAAACAGCATTGTACACTCTCTCACACAAACACAGCAGCAGACTGTCAACTAAATTAGCATACTGCCGTGCAGGGGAAGAGTGTGGTGTGTGTGTGTGTGTGTGAGTGTGTGAGGAAAGTAGGAGGATGCCTCCCTCTTTTTCTCCAATCTCTAACCTTTACAGATGCTCCTTGCTTCCTCCCATCAAATAGAATCTCAAGGGCAGGAAATGCAATAGCCCTGAGGCGACTGCAAATCATGCAACAAACAATGATCTAAAGTGCTGAAACATCTCCTCTCATCTCACTGAATTACATCATGACCAGCGAATGGGCATTTATGGCCAAACTGAACATTCTACCACGTTTTCAGTAGAATTTAAAAGCCTGTCATATTATGCAGCAAACATGCTGAAGGACAGCAATAACTCAAACATGACTAGTCAGAGTCAGTTACATCTTTGTTTACAGTTCCTCTATGCTTTTTCAAAACAGTCTACTGAAGTTGTGTCGTCACTCTTCAGTCTGTGTCCTACCCATATTAGGAACTCTGGGTCATAGCTGGTTTTCTCTATGAGAAAAATGAAGGGCTTTTCGCAAACCGCTGCTATCGTGCCCTGTGGTAAACAAGAACGTTCCAAAGCTGATATGTTTTGCCATACGGACAATTTTCCTCCAAACGTCACTAGATCCTCTGAGCGACACAGTCCTCAAGGAGCGGAAATATGGTTACTGCTATATGCAAGCTAACACTGCTATGCACTGAACTAACAACCTCACCAACAGAAACCAGCAAGCTTTATCAAATGTGGCAGTTAAACTGGCAATAGCAAGCTACAGTTTGAGGAGCTAGAGTTTGCCAAGTGAGGTTATTTCAGTGCTCAAGAGTGGTATCCTGCTCGTAGCATATACCATAATTGTATTTTGGCCTAAAGGCCCTCGAAATGCGGAAGATCAAGTAAAAATTAGGGGGCAATGTACATCAGATAAAATGCATCAGGTGTGAAAGATTTTTGTTGACCACAGGGCATGACAAATCCAAAATCTCATTCATTTCTCTAGCAGAGGAAATCTGCTCAGGCCCGGAGTTCCTAAAATGGGCAAGATGCCGATTACAGAATGATGCACAACAGTCCGTAGCTAATCAAAAGCACACGCCCACATCTACACCAAAGAACTTTCACATCCTCCCACATCACAAAAAAGTAAGGAGAACCACACTATTCCACCAAAATTACTAGCAAATTCAACCCAATGCAATCCTTCTTTTTACATGTTCCTAGGTGAGTGATAACGATAGTCCTGCCAGGTTCATTTCACGATTATAAGGAAACAACAAGGCTCTGCTGGTCGGTCTGAATGTGAAGCTTGACTTGTTGTTACAAACGCGGACAAAGTTCAGTTCAGGCCTAGACAGAAGCCAAAACAGACACTGGTCAGTCAGATTAATTATCTAACTACTACAGACACAGAGAAAACCAAGCAGCCTGGCTATGACGACCTGGAGTATAGTCTAAAATACTGCTGTGTTTAGAGAATACGTGTCTGACTTGGAAACCTGTAGCTCATTGAGATGACCTTGTGAGTTGGATGTGTAGAAGTTGAGGAGGATGTGTATTTACCAGCCTGTGCAGTGTGTGGTAGATCTTGTGGATGCTGGCCAGTGTGGACAAGTGGGAGTTCAGCTGAAAATCTGCGAGGGAGAGGTGCAGGATCAGCCATAGCGCAAACGTCAGTCACCTATCACTCACCTGCACACACACATCTAATTAATCTATACGGACGGCAACTTATGTGGGTCATGACTCGTGCGTGCTCGCTGGCCTGTGCATGCGCGTCTTCAAACGTTAGCACATCATACATAGTGTGGAAGCAAGCCATCTGCTCCAGTGCGCTTGCATTGCCCTCTGGGTTGAAGCCCCTCTGCCAGCCAATAGAATGAAGGCATCAGCTATGAGTCAGAAACTGGGCTACTGACTGCAGTACACACATATATATTTATTCCTATAGATTTATGAAGCGGTTTATGGACATGCATAACAACATGTTACAAACAATTCACTGACAGTCTCTGTGCTGTCTGAGTCAAATCATGCTGTGAATAACCTTAAGAGGCAATTCCGACCCAAAACTAGCGCTGAACATGTTTTGTTATGCAGCATCGCACTCTTCAGCCTCAATGCTTTGACAGAATTCACAACTTTCTATCATGTCTTTGACTACAGTACCCAGCATGCATTACACAAATACCTCACACAATCATTAGAAATGACCACAGCACTTAGAAAACCTGCTAGCCACTGATGTAGAGGCGAATAAACATATCTGTGGTGCTAGTTAGCATGGCACTGAAGTCAACTGGTCATCAAACTTTTTTGTTGAAGGAACACACTTAAAAAAGATGGTTCTTTATAGATTTAGAACCATGAGTTCTACTTAGAACCATCTCATGCTTAAATGGTTCTTCAAATTGATAGAGAATGTGTTGAATGTGGTTCCATATAGAACCTTTTTTGAAAATGGTTCTATATAGCACCAAAAAGCGTTCTTCTATTGATGCAAGCCTGACATCGTAACAACTGAACTATTTTGGTTCTATGTAGAACCATTTTCAAAAATGTTCTATAAAAGTGTGAATAGTTCAAACAGCCTGCTTCCAAGTATCCACCACCTTCATCAGAAAAGGGTTCATCTAGTCTTTAACACAAGAAATCTCACTTTTACTACAGCACAGCTGCACAAGGCGAGTAGGCATGTTTACAACAGATGTGGTGATAGGTGAATTTTTAATTTTGGCTGGAGTGCCCCTTAATGTAAAATCTCCACACACATGAAGATAAACAGGTCAGTGTCAGCAAGAGCAGCTCGACATGAACATTTTAGACCATGGTGGCATTTCACAAAGCAAAAGGTCAGTAAACGGGATCATTTAAGTCAAAAGGACAGAGGAGTGTCCAGCAGGAATGTCCATCACCTCTCCTATTGGACAGGGTTGACATTCGGCTTAAGTGATCTGGCCAACTGGGAGATCCAGCTTTGTGAAACAACCCCCATGTCAGGTTTAGTTTGAGGCAGTGAAACACTAAAGACAATGATGGCGGCCCAACTAACGCACTTTGAAATGAGGACTGTTGTGGCATTAACGCAGAGGAACGGAGACGCCGCTGGATGTATATAATAACACAAGCGTCAACATTGTGGGTATAGACCACACGCAGCAGAACGTAGGTTATAGAAAAACGGAAGGAACCCGTAAGGTTTCACACTGAAGTGCAAACTAAACACATTTTGCTCGCGACCCTGTGACGCAGTCGCCAGAAACAGAAGCAGATGTAAAACGCTGCACATACAGCACGTATGCGCACGTTTTCCAGACGCTGGGCTCGCGGCGCGACCACACGGTGGATCATTCCCACCGTAACGGAGCGCGCGAGTTGAGCCCCGAAAACACTCGGGCTGAACGCCGCCACCGAACTGACCACATACCTAGCATAACAGCGCACATACACATTCACACACGCACGCACGCACAACTTGCAACGAGTTTAGAAAGTATCTTCGGAGCGAAAGCGCTTCTGGGAGCTGTAGTCCCGGTGACGTAGCCCCACTCCTTTCCCGAACGCCCGCGGCCGGGTAGGCGGACTACACTTCCCAGAGTGCCCGGGTCTGATCATTTTATTCGGCACCCCTCTCTCCTGACACTCACCCCAACTGATGAATGCAATCCAAATGCTCCAAAAAACAACTCGTTCTCTAATCGGAGGAGTCTAAACCGCTGCGTTCAGTAATTCTGCGAGAGGCTTTCAGAGACGGCGCTCGCACTTTGTGCACGAGACGCGCGCAGGCGCTGCACATTTTTACACAACTGCGTCACAATTTTCACCCCCTGTAATTTTCCGCAGTTTTCTCGAAAAACTGACCTATTTACCGCTAATACGGCGATGTTACACAATTTCCTGCAACGTGTTCGCTGCAGCCGAGTGAGCTGCGAGGCGAACCGGAGCTCGAAGAAGATCCCTGAGGTATTAAGGGTCATTAGACTACAAGTGCATTGTGTCTGAATAGGATCTGATACCTTCTCTCAGACCGCTTTCCCTCTCCGGGTAACGACTTCAGCGAAAAGGGCGAAGGCGATGTTAGCTGAAGCAGTGCCTTTGTCGCTGCGATCAGCCGCCACAGCGCAGGCAGAAATACAAAGAGCCCAGCGAGCTTCAGGCTCTCCCCTGATTTGTGTTATCGCTCGGATATCGGCTGGTTTAACATCACAAAATGCGTCAAACGCTACCGGGGCGCCTCCGTGAAATCAGCCGAAACGCCTCGTCGTGCAACAAGTTTGCAGTTAGCTGCCTGAATCGACAACGCTGGGAAAAAAAACACTATTAAGACACTATTGTACTTACTTGTCGCATCTGAGTGCATTTTTATGAAACACTCAACTGTATTTGTGTGCAGCTGCAGACCGGCCAGTGGGCGGGATATGTCACAGTTCCCCCTGCCCACCGAGTGATTTAGGTGGACGGCAGGTTCCGTAACCACGCCCACAGACGGTTGTGATTGGTTAAGGGAAGTGTCAATCACTCGTAGCGCACACAAAGACGTGAAGCCCTCCCAAGAAGCAATGTGATAGGCCAACGGTCCAGCAAAGTCCCGCCTCCTGAACGAGCCCATTGGCCGAAGGTTCTCTCCGGACAAATCCGTTACGACCGTTTCCTCGTGCAGAGGAGAAAACCGCCCCAAGGTGACACCTCATTGGCTACTGTGCTTCGCGAGCCCGCCTTTAGCGGTAATAACAGTGGTCGGAGCTCACGTCAATCAAACTAAATTCGGCTTGTCGCGCACTCCTATTGGTCGAGTCGGCCAGTTTTGTTTACTGTAGGGCGTGATCGTCCATTTCCTCACAGATATTTTTGTAGAAAGTTACGACGGAGCGTTTTACTCCCTACGATAATTTTACAAGCCCAAACTACGTTAAAAGTACAACCAACACTGACTAGAGATCATTTTGAAAAAAGCTGAGGCGTTGCTGCAGAGCTCCTCTCCGCGGCCACCGCTACCGAGGTGTCCACATATCACATAAATATTCATTTCCTTTGTTTACGATCGTCTCGCATCGTCTTCTTGGACTTTTGCTGTTCATGCAAGAACGCTCGTCGACTGCAACCCCAAAATGTGGCGCTGCGTCCTGGCCCGAAATAACGACGGCTATTCGCTTCATCTCCAGATTGTGACCATATTCCTAAACTATACAGTGGGAGGGGACAGGGCTAGACATGCCACGCATGAAGATGCACCGTTAATGGAAAATATGTTGTCAATAGCTTCGTGTTTTGGGCTCTATGCTCGCAGTACGGCCGTATACACGTGATGGTTTGTAATAGCCAACATCACAATTTGATTTTCTCAGTTTGGACTACATTAGACTCCATTTTCTAGCAAGGCATTAAGATCCCAAGCATGGCAGCAGAGCACAGCACTTTAGACCAGCTTCAGACTTCGTCTGTATTCAACAGTCAGTTCAAACCACAACAAATATGTTGAAACAGCTACAGAAATTAATGGATAAATTATTGAAGAATCAGAGTTGAAGCTGGTCACATGCAATTCCTCCTTAATGTAGTCAGATATCACACTGACCGCTGTGCATACAGTTCCCATTACCCTCTCCAGGAGTTTGAGAATACAGTATGTCAAAGTCCATTCCTCTTGTTGCTGCCTTTCAGATCATTTAAAGGTTGCTCCTTTATATCTGTGCCCTGATATTGGCATAGCACATAAAGCACTGTAATGTATTTGTGGCACCGTACAGCATCAATTCTGGACCTGAAGAGCTAGAGGCCAGTCAAACACACCAAATAAACATGGTAATTAATTAAAGTTGAAGTTAAAGAGGAGTTGAATCAGGTGTCAGAACATTTCTGTTACATGATGGTTTAGTTCCAACCCTTATTGGCTACACCTGCTCAAATGAACCTGTATTTTCAGAGGGCTTTTATCAGGTGGGTGGGATGTTTTTGTGGGTTTCAGAGTTTTGTGCTGAAGCTGAACTGAAAGGTAGACGTCCAGTAGGAAGTCTGGTGACAACTCCTGTGCAAGTTTAACCTTCCGTGTGATACAGGTTGAGAAACAGACTCACATAACTACTGTAGAAACCATGTCTGGTTAGTTTTGTATGCCAAACTAAATCCAACTTACTGTAGCATCCCTGGGAAGGGGCTTTCTGTGCTTCACTGTAAACGGCCCAGGATGCCTTGTGGATTGGAACATTACCTTTTTGCTAAAATAGGCTAACTAGTTCAATAATCTATTTACATGGTTAAAGCAGTGGTCTTGTGAATGAAAGTATCACTGTGGTGTTCGTCTGTTGTTTTCTATGCAGTGTTTTACATGTAGGCCTTTCATACTGCTGCCATGTGTTTCTTCTGGTGCTGCTTATTGTGAAGCAGCTATCTGTTGATTCATTTTGATTGCTAGTTCTATAATATAAGAGACAAAAAATATATTGTTTTTCAAAGAACTCATGGAGAGATTTTAGGGTCCAGGTTGTCTGACTGTAGCACTGTGATAATGTTGAGTTGCTTTTATCTCATGGTTGTCTTTAATGCTATGTTTTAAACTATAACAAAATAAAATCAACAAAAATGTTTGAGAGCTACACTGAATAACTTAATGTTTTACCTGATAAAAGGCCCATAAAATCTCGTTGTTTGGCACATAGAGTGCCCTAGAGTGCCCGTTGCCCTTTATATTGTGTGAAGACTACATAACAACTGGGCCAAAAGAAATTGTCTAAAATGTTTTTACATTGACCTACATGAAAAATTAAGATTTTTTTCTCATGTAAATTTACTATTTTGGAGACGCAAGGTTATGTTGAAACAGCGATGAAATATTGGCCTACATACAGGGGGGTCCAAAAGTCTGGGATCACTGTTGAAAATGTTTCTATTTTGCATTTTTTAATATTTTAATACAAATTTTTCTAACACTATTTTGAGTGGTCCTTTGTAGATGATTAATAAACTCTTAACAAAGAATCAGTAACACATCAAGCAATAATCAGTGAAGCAGCAGTAGTGAAGCATCTGACTACGTTGAAGTAAATATCTTGTAGACTCGTTACTTACATTAAACAGATGTATTGTTAATATGTTAAATGAAGTACACTTAATATGTCAATTCCTTTAAGCAAAACCTACCTTAACCAGAACCTAACCTTCCCCTTGGCCCTAATCCTAAATCTAGACCTTAAACTTAACCCAAAACCTAACCTTAACCTTAACCCTAGCCCTAATCTTAACCCTGACCTTAACCTACACCCAAAACCTAATCCTAATCCTGGCCCTAATCCTAACCTTAACCATAGGCCTAATCTTAACCCTGACCATAACCTCAACCCAAAACCTAATCCTAACCACCACTCTGGCCCTAATCCTAACACTAACTTTAATCTCAACCCAAAACCTAATCCTAACCCTCACCCTGGCGCCCATCTTAACCCTAACCTTAACCTAAACCTAATCCAGTTTCAACAGCTTGTTGAAGATGTTGAGATGGTCTATATTACCTGTTATATGTTTAGTGACTTCTAAGGTTAAAATCTACAGATATGAAGTTGGACACTGAGAGTCTGTCGAGTGTTCATTTCATCTAAATAGGACCACTCAAAATAAAGGGGAGTCCTCATTACTTATAATATCAGCATAATAATTTGAGTGAAAATTAGAATCTATGATTAATTACTTGAATTTCAGAATTTCTGGTCCTTGCGGCCCAATACCCACAAGGTCCAGCATGGGGGACCAGTGCAGTGCCGTATAGGCAGTGGGAGATGGCAGGGAGGCCCTTAGCAGCATAGACCCCTGTGGCAGACACTGGCTCCAACTTAATATAATAATATAATATTCCCCTTTTGCTTTAATGACAGGGTGCATTCAAGCAGGTATGGATTCCATATGTGTGTAGATCAAATCCTCTTGAGAGTCATGTGAACATGTGCTTCAATGGAAGGAATAAGACAAAAAAAATTTGACCTTTTTGTACAAAAGCCTTAACGCGGTCAGTTTCAGTTTGAATAGTGACATAGAAATAATGCAGAATTTCAGATTTGTCTTCTTCATTTTAATTGTCGAATGTCTTTCTTTCTTTTAAAATCTTCAAGATTCTAAAACTTTCTGTGTAAGTTCTTCATTCCTCATTGCTCTCATACACTTTTTGGTACTGTACAAGCATACAAATTTGGGAAAAGATCAGCCGTGGACCATATTTTTCATTGTTTTTTATTGTCTTTTAATGTACACATTTAAAAAAGATGTAAAGTAAATGGTTCTATTTAGAACCATGAGTTCTATATAGAACCATTTCCATACTTTACGGTTCTCTGCATGGTGAAACGGCATGTTGTATATGATTCTATGTAGAATCTTTCTGCAAATGGCTCTATCTAGCACCAAAAAGGGTTCTTCTGTTGTTACAAGCTTGACATCGTAACAATAGCAGAACCCTGGTTGATGCTTTATGAAACTATTTTCAAAAAGGTTTTATATATAGAACCATATTCAACATTCAGTCTAAAGAACCATGCATGCAAAGAACCATTAAGCATAAAATGGTTCTAAATAGAACCATTTTCTTTACAAAAGAACCCGTGAAGAACCATCTTTTTTAAGTTTGTTATGTAGATAAGTTGTATCTCTGTGATCACGCTGTACAACTGTGTTTTCTGGTATGGCTCCCCCTTGTGGTGAAGCTTATTTTAGTCAGAAGTTTCTGCGAGGACATTTGGTGACCTGTAATGGAAACATACAAGTATTACAGCATGAATATGAGATCAGCTTTCTAGTGAGGAGTATATGTGTGTATAGTATATGTATAGTATATATTATATGTTGACTATATGGGGACTCTACCTCAGCTTTGAGTGGGTGTTTCAGTTGCTGCTCCAGCTGTTTGTTTTTCTAGTTTCTGACACTCCTGACATTCATGATTGCAGTGTCTGAAAAAACAATGTACAATGTAAAGAAAGTGTCAGTGGAAACAGGTATTTGAAGTCATGGTATCTAAACACACACACACAATATTCAGGCTTCAAAATAACTGCTGTTTTTATGTGACATACTTTTGGCCATTTTTATAGATAACAGTGTCAGAAACCACATAAGCGAGTCTGTTTGATGTTACATAATTTGATGCAAGTGTGTCATGATTTAGGCCTGCAGTTTGCACAGTTCTATAGTGGTGAGAGGTAACCTTCCATTACTTGTTAGCTAGCAGGGATGTGCATGGGGACTTGAGTACTCAGTCAACCATTGAAGATGCCAGTATTTGAATATTGAAATCACCATTTGGCTATTCTGCTTCATCATGGGAAGATACAGTCTATCCAGTATCCAAATATACAGGTGTACAGTTTTATGCTCCAATAATGTAAAATGTGGAGAGTTTGCTTATATTTGATAGTAAGTATATGTATATTATGTTTTTATATTATTATATTATGTTTTATGACCCCCACTCCCCAATACTAAACTCTGACATTCCCAGGGACTGTTACGCACCCATCACTTTCTGTTGTGCACTCATCACTTTAACTGCTCCATAAGCTCATTCCAATTTGCACTACTGTTTATATTTGCACTGTTTATACCCGCGGACCTGTATGTGCCTTATGTCACTTTAGTGTTAATTTCAAGACCTTCTTATATTTATATTATTTGTATTATTATTATTGTTTATTTATTATTTTGTATTATTCTATTTTTCTACAATTAGTGTTTATTGTGTTTACGATTAGTGTTTAGTGTTTACACCATGGGGTCTGAGAGTAATGCAATTTCAATACTCTGTATGTCCTGTACATATTGTAGTATTGACAATAAAAGCTGACTTGACTTGACGTGTTACTCCAAATTATGAGCACATTGGCAAGAACGCATTGTTAAGGAGTCATAGCACAGCTTTATCACTGACATGTCTAAATAAGTTCCTCTAGCTGATGTTAGCTACGTCAAGAAACAGTGAAAATATATTTCTCAGACAAACTTATATTATGGTACGTCTTCCCTGAGGAACACTGCTGAAAAATCAACGGTAACACTTTATTTGGATGGTCCACTGTAGAGTCTTTGTAAATGTTCAGTATATCTTTAAGTAACATTAAACTAAATAGTCATTAAATGCAACTGACTGTGAAGTTAAGTGTTACTTGGATGGTTCACTGTAGGTGCTGTGTGAATGCTCAGTTGGCCTTTAAGTAATATTCAACTAAATATCCATTAAATTCAACTGAATTTGAAGTTTAGTGTGAAAGAATGTATTAAATCTAACCCTAACCCAAAACCTAACCCTCACCTTAACCTCAAGGTAAAACCTACTCCTAACCCAAACCATAACCATAACGTTGATGACAATCAACTGAACATCACCAGAAAGTTTGTTAATGATTTAAGTCTCTGTAGAGCATCTTTGGGGACCACCCAAATAAAGTGTGACCAAATCAACTTAAGCTAGCATGGCTGGTCACCAGCAAAACCAGCATATTTTGTGTTTTGGATGCTGGTATGCTGGTCAACCAGCATGATCTGCTGGGTGACCAGCTAAACCAGCATCAGACCAGAATAAACCAGCTTAGACCAGCACGGAATTCAAAGCTGCTTTTGTCAGCAGGTAACGCCACCTGTAAGTAGACGATGAGTCCTCATCAGCATCCAGTGTTTTACTAGTTCACTGTTGTTAGCTCATTATCTCATCTGGGGCAGATTTCTTTACTCATCTGACACAAAAACCTACCAATTTTCCTCAGATATTTCTGAAAGAAGAAACATGTTTTCATCTGCATGCTGCTAACACGAGTGCTGTCACCTAAAAAGGTGAACCTAAAACCCTAAATATCAGCCAAAGTCTGTTTTTTGCTGATTTTTCCTTCCACGCTCATCCATTCATGAACCGTTACGGGCACTTGAATATCAAAACTAGTCAGAATGCACATCCCTATTAGCTACATTAGCCTCGTAGCTCCAGCACAAAAGTAAAGAAGCGTACTTCAGACAGATGCATGTCTTGGCTGATGGACTACATTCAGGAAAGGGGAAAATTGTAAATTACTAACCCCAAATTATCCACAAAGTATACAACTTTAAAAAGTGATACATAGAATTGCAGAAGTGTGTCCTGTGAATTAGTGAATTAGACTGTGGGACATGTGCACCTTTAGGACCACCTGATATTTGGCCCAGATATTCGCTGGTGGATCATTCTCAGCACAGCAGTGGCACCAGTGTGGTAGTGGCATTAGTGTGTGTTGTGCTGGTATGAGTGTATAAGGTACAGCAGTACTGATGGGAATTTTTGAGACTGTAGCTCTGTACACCTTTTTACATGCACAATTTGTGTTAGTCACCCTTTTTTCTGACCACAGGACCTCTGCTGGCTGGATAACTCTCAACAGCACTGTGCCTGATAGACTTGTACAAGCACTTGCCAGTGCTGTGCTGAGAACGGTCAACTACTCAAATAATATCTGGACAAGAGTGCTCTTGTGGTCTCTTTTCATAGCTGAATGGGGTAAAGTGGAGCTGACAAATGGGCTACAGTCCAAAACTGTACACCCACAAAACACACCTATACATATATTAAATGGCCAATGAGATACAAGGCAGTTGTTTCTAATAAACTGATAATTTAGTTAATGATTTAGTTGCTGGTCCTTCTCGAAAGCTGACAAGACTGAAACAGTCGTGGCTTGTAAAAAACTGAGGAGTTTTTAAGGCTATAGGAGAAATTTAAATGGAAAAAGCAATGAAATGGAATCAATATTGTCAAAATATTTTCTACAATTGCTTACCTGTGTCTACCTCTGAAGCCTGGGGGCCCAAAGCCTGGTCCCCAGCCTGGGCCGTAGCCATTGGTGAACTCTGGTCCCAGCTTCTGAAACTTTTCTCGACATGTCCCAATGTAAGAAGCTTTCCCAATCGCATAACCCAGAATACCTGCCACTGAAGTATAGAAGAGAGCACACAGGTCACTCATACTCAAGTGTTACTGTTCAAAGTGATTGTAGTAATCATTAAGCCCAATTATTCACTGACAATTGTAAAAGAATTCAGTCTGAATCCCTGAATCTGAACAAAAAACGCATGAAGAGAATGAAATGACTAGCTAAGACAATGAAGTAAACTAGGGGAGATTTAAAGGCTCTTATTTTATATTTGAGTTAAACTCTAACACACAGGTTCCTAACCCTGGTCCTGGTGTTCCTCCTACTTTACACAATTTAGTGTTTTCCCTGCGCCCACCACACCTACTTGAAGGGTCATTGTTTTTGAGCTGATTAGTTGGATCAGGTGTGTTGGAAGCAGGGGAAACACTTAAATGCGCAGGGCAGGGGTACTGCAGCATAAGTGTGACCACTATTGAGCTTCCTGCTGTCTAATGCTGTACTAAAAGCCTTACCTTGCATGCTGCTCACCTTTCTGGTGATACCGATGCCTGTACAGACTCAAACTATTAACCCTTGTGTGGTGTTCAGGTCTGTGGGACCCATTTTTAATGTTTACCAAAAGAGAAAAAGATGCAATTTATTATTATTTCAACCTCAGATTTCTTGGTCTTTGCTCATTTTCTGTGAAGAGCATATAAAATAACCCATTTTCAGTGACCTCACACTGTTGACCCCCTACACATTTATATTACACATGTGGTGTTGGGTGAACCCGCTGGGAATAAAAGTGTGGAGGTGCTGTGTCCTTCACTCTGTTCTCCTCCTACATGACCTGCTGTTAGTGTGTGTGTGTGTGTGTGTGTGTGTTTGTATATGTGTGTGTGTGTGTGTGTGTGTGTGTGTGTGTGTGTGAGGGTGGACAACATAGACAGGCTGCTGACTGGCTACAGCTGCTAAAGGAGAATCCTACACTGGTCACTTGTGATATTTTAAACATCTGGTATTTTTACATAAATCGTTATGGCTGTATTGATTTAAAAAGCAATAATGTGGTGGGTCCACCAGACCACTGAGTAACAAACACATCAACACCACACAAGGGTTAAATCATAGACACTGTTTCACCTGCCTCACAATACGCTCAGCTCTTTTCACATTCATACTAGATCATCATGATAGGCTTCTAACAGTAGTCACTGGTTTTCACTGCTAACAGTGACAGATTTTCACAGATTTGTTTCTCATTGTTACTCTGATAGGCCTCTAACAGTAGTCATCGGTTATCACTGGCTAATCTGGTTAAATCAGATTGTGTAAATACTTAATCTGGTTAAATCTAGTTAAATCAGACTATATATTAATTGTAAAATCCTATTCTCTATTCATTTTGCTCGTGCTGTGTTATTGTTTTTCTAACCGGTGTTGACCAGAGGAGGATGGGCTCCCCTTTGAGTCTTGGTTTCTCTCAAGGTTTTTCCCTCCTGCTCTCTGGGAGTTTTTCCTTGCCCCTTTTGCTGTTGGCTTGCTCAGTGGGGCTTGGATTTTCTGCAAAGCTGCTTTGTGACAATGGCTGTTGTAAAAGCGCTGTGTAAATAAACTTGTCATGACTTGACCAGGGAACTTCTGCTCTAACATATGAGTGCGGAGTGGACAAGTAACAGGTTGGAGTTGAACTGGATTTTGACAAATTAGCTGCACACAAATATAAATGAATCATTTCCTCCTTGGTTTATTAAGGGACTTACCTGCAAGTTTAGGGAATGGTCCAAACCTCTTTGACTGTTTCCAAACACCTGTGAACAAACATACAGTATGCTGCAGAGTTTGGGTCTGCTGGAATCATTTCTGGATATGAAAACAAAACGTACACCATCAAGGTGGAGCTACAAGACTGGTGTTTCTGGTGAAGTGGCCAGTGATTGTCCATTTTGATCCTCTGTCTTCTTCTGAGTATGTAAAATATTCAATTGCTCATATGCAAGAGAATTCCATGTTCTTTTTTGAGTCAGATGGTGAGTGTGTTTATTTTACCGTCCAGTGGACACAAGTTACAAAATAATGAGTGAAGCAACTTCCCTGGCCTATGGTAGTATTAAACAAACCTAAGCTGAAGTTTGGAGTGATTCTACTCTGAACACATTCACCAAAGTGTTTGCAGATGAGGACGTGATACTGCACTACATCTACATGGCAAACGAGTACTATAGTTTTGAAAGTGCAGTGAGTGGTAAAGAGCTGCGATATTTACCATTGTAGATTAGGCCACCAGTGACGGCCATGCTTCCGAGAGAGAGAGGAAGAGCTGGGGGGGAAAATACTGTTTTGAAAATTCCGTAGCTCAAAACATCACTACAGTCGCATGCAAAAGTTTGTGCGCCCCTGGTCAAACTGCACATTTTGTTGATTCTCTTATTCTAACCATAGGAAAAAAACAAATAAAACATAAAATGTGGCCTGTGCAAAAGTTATGGTTTTATTTTTTCTAATATGTTAAATTCAAAAATGTAAATTCAGAAACTGTGCCCTTAAATTTGCAGAAAAATGCCACAGTTTGTTCCCTGGTGAGGACATTTTCAACAAAAAATCAACAAAACAACTTGAAAGGGGGGGATTCAGACTTTTGCATACCACAATCAGGACATCACTTGTCACTACATGCAACAAGTAACATATTGAGAATCTATCACAATACAATTGAATATTATTTATATTCATATTGACAACATATAACAATATTTAACCTTCACAAGGGAGCTACTGAAGTTCAGTGCTTTGTCACAGGATCTGAGGCCATATAATCTGTGGTCTCTATCCTCCTTTTGCATATGACAATTCAGTATAAATGAGTGGTTATATACCCAGCATCTAGTATATCCCTATGAAGTATACAAGTTGCTCTCATGTTTTCAAAGCCTGAAGAATCTATCAACAAAGACTAGAGAGAAATAATATATTCTAGAGTGGCAAACTGCTCTGTGTTAATGTGTACATACACTACAGGTTTGTCTGAGATGAGGTCATGACACTGCACTACATTTACAAGACAAACCACAAGTACTGTAGTTTTGAAAGTGCTGTCAGTGGTGAAGATCTGCAGTATTTACAACTGTAGGTCAGGCCACCAGTGACGGCCATGGCTTGAGGATAATCAAATTGAGACATCTGGGCCCACAGCCAGTTTCCTCCCATTCAGTAAGCTCACACAACATGTCTGAGCAACTGCTGTCAGGGGGATGTGGCTGAAACTCACACGCAAAAGGCTAATGTGGAAGTGATTCCACCCAAAGCCAGATGTAAACACTGACTGATTAGGTCAGTTTGGAAACTAGGCTTGGAAAACATACACACAAAGCCTAACACATGCTGCATCATGTACTGTGCAGATTTAAACCTTTTTAAATATATAAATTAGTATCATTTAAACGGTGTGAGTTTAGACTACGACCTCAACATACGATTGTAGTTTGAGAGGAGGCTGTATGCCTGAGCGGAAGAGAACTGTGCCTCATTCAAAAAGCGGGCTGAACTTCAATGTAAAGGGGCAGAGCTACACTGCTGTAGGCTACATAGGTGTGTATATGTAATGTTGATTTTCATGACATCACAGCAGAGTTGGCCATAAATCAGTACTCAAGTGCTGATGCTTGGGTACAATGAGTTAAAGTAAACACGTAAAAGTAAAAGTACCTTTAAATAAAACAGCCTAAAACAACTTAAAAGTTGTGTTACTTAGTATAAGTACTGAGTAACATATAGAACTGCAGTGGAACTTAAATCCGGAATATTTGAGCATAGAAACTGAAGTTTGTATGGCTCTATTTTTCTCTTTTTTGGATTCTTTTAGTCTAAAATAAAATGCTCAAGCTCCAAAGTTAGAGATGTGACCGATTACAAAGCAGTACAGATGTTGTCACCAACAAAACAGAATGAAATTAAACACAAAAAAAAGAATTTGTAACTCAGTACAAATAGCTGAACAATTTGAAAATACTCAGGAGAGTACAAATCCATCAATATTTTACTTAAGTACATGTACTTGAGTAAATGTAACTAGTTACACCCACCTAAAGATAGAATTTCTAGGAAACTAGACAGGAGGGAGCAGAAGCTTCCATCATAGTCATCCTCCCAAACTTTTTCCTTTGTTTCACAACTCCACTTATTCTATAGGCTATATTTTCAAACTATGTGTATCATGATACCAAACTGGTTCGGAGTCAGAGATGAAAACATATTTTGGACTTTGACTGACTTGGACTTTAGGCTAAAATCGTTTTTCTTTGAGTGTCCCTACACTTTAATTATTATTATTATTATTATTATTATTATTATTATTATTATTATTATTATTATTTAATTAAAAAAAATGATTGAATTGCATTTTGTCACTGACAAAATAATTATAACACTACAGAAATTATACCAATCCTTTTGGCAGAGACTGTTTCGGTAATAACAGTGCTGAATAGTTAACTCATTTTGAGAAGGACTCAAAAATGGTAGCCAGTACATGACTAGCAAACACAGCTTTGAATAGATATACACACATAAAATCATAATATTTTTCATTAAAACACAAAAGAGTTTACTTAATTGCAAAAAAATATGTATTTAAGTGGTGACAGTTCTTAATGTTACTGATTTTCAGACTTTGGGACACATTTACTTCAAAACAATGGGATCTAACTGCTCACCATGTGGCCATGAGGGACAGGGATGCAGTCTCACCGCCTGCTCTAAAATGCGGGGGTGTGGCTAAAACAAGGTGCTGCATACAAATTAAAACTCTTTGTTTTTTGGTAGTGACATGAAAAGTGGGACATTTTTTTAACCTGAGTTTTTTTTACTGAAAAATGAAACTTATGATAAATCTACATATTTCGGGTTCACTTTAAAAGAAATCAAAAATACTCTTAAAAAGTATTGAAATAAAATTACAAATGTACATATTAATGTAAGTTGAAATGTAGGAGTTAGGGTTTGGGACAGCCACCTCCAAACAGAAAGTACCCTAAGAATCATGATTTTTGTATATATTTAGTGTATTACTATCTCAATTAATGCCTTGGGTTTAAATAGATAGAAATCATAACATAATCCTTGTATATATCTAAGGTCTGAATACTCAATGCAAAGGATAACTGGAGTTTTCAAATTATGCAAAAAAGTAAACAACAACAAAAGCAGAGGTTTTTATCACTGTTTTATCTGACCACGGAGAGAATGAACCAGCAACGAATTTAATCGCTGTTGTATTATCAGACAACAGAGATTAAAAATTGTCTAAAGGTCAGAGTCAATGTGAAGAGACTTGTATGTGTGTTGTACCTCGGTACCAGAAGCTCTCTTCTTGACATTCCTTCCAGACCCGTCTCACATCCTCCCTGTGGATATGCTTGTCTCCAATGGGACACTATAGTCAACATGGGACAACAAGTCACAAAAGAGCTGTTAAAACTCCAAATCTTTTTCTTTCAGGTATTTTAATTATGTGCAGCTAATTGACATATTTTAATCATATAAATTCCCTACACTGTTTTTTTCAGTGCACTATTAGGATGAGTATCACACAGCAATCTGTACTTTTAGTTTGAGAGGTAATAAAACATATCACTGTTGTTGGAAGAAAACCTTGTATCTCCAAAAATGGTAACTTTACAGGAGAAGGAAAAAACCTACTTTACTTTTAATGCAAGTCAATGGAACCAGATTTTTTCCCAAGTCATTTTGGGTCATTTCTTTTAGTCCATTCATCATGAAATTTACAAACAGTGTAAAGGGCAACAGGTATTTTCAAATTATCTCAAAAACATCAAAAATGGAGATACGAGGTTTTCTTCCAACAACAGCGAAATATTGAACTGCAGTGGATTTACCAACAATACAATCAAACCCGTTGTGTCAGGTGTGCAAGAGATACTTTTGGCGTAGAGCACCAGTTTGCAGGAAGTTCTTTTTCAAAATTTCAGCATAATTGAAACGGTGAGATGTAAACAAGTTTTTCAAAGAGGTTTAAAATGAAATCTGCCATTCTAGAGAAACTTGCTGAGTCAGAATTGTTTACACCAACGATGATGGGGACCAGACATTTCAAGTGTCTAATGCCTCTATAGACAAGAGTTTAGCCTAAAACCTAGCTTTTAAAATACATATAGGGCACTCCACGGCAAAATAGCACCAAAAGAAAACATATTTTAAGATTTTCCACTATTTTACTGTTATCAACATTACATACAAAAACTCAGAAGACATATATGGGTCCACTGATGGTTTTAGGTGGTAAATAAAATGGCTACGTTTGTGCTATAGATATGGTGATTCCTGGTTCTTATCACAAGCATTGTAATAGGTTGACAATTTTTTTTTTCAGTGAACCATTTTACATCAAACCACACCAAATGACTTTGCCTGCATCTAAACCACTTCATTATGTAGATTTTTTTAAATAGGTAGAATTCCCCTTTACTTTATTAACAAAAACTTAATAGGTTCATTAACTTTGTTGATGTACACTTCAATATCATCTGATACTGTGATTCACTGTATGTGCAGAAGTATCCAGGCACCCCTTCTACTTAGTGAATTCAGCTATTTTATGGTGCATCCAGTGCCCATAAAAGCATTCAGTTGCACATAGGCAGTACAATCTCTGTAGAAAAGCATTGTCAATAGAAAGGGATTCTCTGGGTCAGCCACACATGAGCCTAAGGTCACCGTGACTAATGCCATGCGTCAGCTAGAGAGGTATAAGGCCCACCAGCATTGGGCTGTGGAGCAGTGAAACTGTGCACTCTGGAGTATTGGAGCTCCATCCACTGCCTTTGAAGGGATGTTTGTGACCCAATCATCAACTAATCATCCAACAACAGTACCTGACCTCACTAAAGCTCATTGAATGCAATCAAATCTTCACAGCAATGTTTCAACATCTAGTGTAAAACATTCCCAGACGAGCATAGACTGTTACTGCAGCAAAAGAAGACAAACTTCCTATTAATACCCTTGATTTCAGAAGAAATGCTGGACAAGCAGGTGTCTACAAACTTTTGGACATATAATGTATTTTAAGACAATATTGTGATACTGAATTTTATCAGCGCTGCCCAGCACTACTCTAAACACTCAGCATCTTTGTAAGCTGTGCCACCTATGAGAGCCACAAAGTTCAGTTGTCAGCCAACTGCTTATCTTCCTCAAACACAGACTCAACCCATATTTTTCAGACTTACCACCCAACCTGCTTTTGCTTTAACCCGAGCTCCTTCTGTGTTCTCAGTTGCTTGGGTGCTCATTGTTCTCCTCGTCTCTCAGAACGTGCAGTCTATCAGCTGTGTCTCTTACCCACTTCCCCTGCTCACTCCTTTTTTCAGTGCGTACTCAAGCCACTTTTTTCACCTCTGCCTTAAAAACACGTTTGGCTCCTCCCTCCTTGGCTACACATTAAAAAGGCCCTTCCCACCAGCCTAGTCATGCAATCTCTAGCAATTTTGAACTGCTGACCCAATTCTCCTCCACCGCATGTAACATCCTCTGTCCATTATGCTGAACTCTTCCTATGGCAAACATGTAAAAATATACAATCACTATTCTCCATACTACACAGTAAAGCTGTGCTGATTTGTTGAATAATAAAAGTTTAATTCCAAAATGATGTCCATTTGTAAACATTTTTAATAGAAAAAGATTTTTTTAAAAGAATAACAATATTTCTCTAATAAAGGTGGTATTAATCATAATATAGCGTTAATACCAACCAACCGGCCACTTTATTAAGTACACCAACCTTGTATCTACTATTTTATCAGCTCCACCAAATAGGAGCACTTTGTAGTTCTACAGTTACAGACTGTAGTCCATCTGTTTATCTACATACTTTGTTAGCCCTTCTTTTATTCGGTTCGTCAATGTTCAGGACCCCCACAGGACCACCACAGAGCAGGTATTATTTGGGTGGTGGATCATTCTCAGCACTGCAGTGACACTGACGTGGTGGTGGCTTGTTAGTGTGTGTTGCGCTGCTATGAGTGGATCAGACACAGCATTTTGTCTACGTATGTCGCCACATCACATACCACATACCACTTAAATGTTCTTCATTAAGCTTAAAGCTACATGCTTTGTGGCTTTCAGTATATTTGAGTATATTTCAGGCTTCTTAGCGCCACTTTTAACATAAACAGATTTTGACACAGTACCCATACTATCACTTAAGTACACTTTCTCTATACTTTATACTTATATCGTTTTTTGGCACACTGAGTTTTTTCTCTCTTAATCAAGTAGACCATGAACTGAAGAGAAGCAGAATTAAATGTTTGGAAGATATTGACCTTTAGAACTCACTCCATACAAGACCTACACAATGTTATTCCTGTGACTATCACAATGCTGTGACTTTGACGCCATGCATGCTGTCAGGCAGCTGCGGAAGTGTCATCACAAATATCATACCCTCATTGTTTTATTGCCCTGCCATTCCTTCCTTCACAGTGCATTTGTTTGGCCATGTTCGTTTTTGTTTAACTTTTACCCCCATACCTGATAAACCACTCCCTTCAAACAATCCGTCGTACAGAGGTGTACAGAGATGAGGGAGTGTCCAAACAGGCTCTAAAGTCAAGTTGCAAAAAGGCTCCACATCTCTTTTGGTATTTATCTTCAGAATTTGATCTGTGTCATTGCCTTATATGATTTTAAATCAATACTTAAAGTTTCTTGAACTACTGTTAAGCTTTATGACCTGTCTGTAAAGCACTTTGAGTTGCCACAGGTATGAAAAGTTCTCAGTGAATACAACCTCATTTCCAAAAAAGTTTGGACACTGTATAAAATGTGAATAAAAACAGAAGGCAATGATGTGCAAATCATTTAAATCGTATATTTAAATGAAAATAGTACAAAGACAACATATCAAAAGTTGAAAAAGAGAATTTTTTTTTTTAAAATATGTGCCCATTTTGAATTTGATGCTGACAACACGACAAAAGTTGGAAAACACCTGCTGATTTATTGGCAGCAGGCCAGTAACAAGTAACATGATTGGGTATAAAAGACCATCCCAGAGTGGCTGAGTCTTTCAGAAGTAAAGATGATGAGGGGTTCACCACTCTGTGAAAGATTGCACGGACAAATAATGTAACAATTCAGTAATAACTTTTCTCAATTTTTTTTCTAAAAGAGCAAAAAACTTTCGCTTTTCATCATCTACAGTACATAATAACATTAAAAGATTTAGAGAATCTGGAGAAATCTCTGTATGCAAGGGACAAAGCCAAAAACAAGTATTGGCTGGCCGTGATCTTTGTTCAGATGCGATTCTGTAGTTTAAATCACTGCAAGGGCTCAGTAACACTTCTGAAAACCACTGTATGTGAACACAGTTCATCACTGCATCCACAAATACAAGTTAAAACTCTACCATGCAAAGAAGAAACCACATATAAACAGGATCCAGAAACGCCGCCGCCTTCTCTGGGCCTGAGCTCATTAAAGATGGACTGAGGTGAAGTTGAAAAGTGCCCTGTTGTCCGACAAATCAAAATTTAATTTCTTTTTGGAAATCATGGACTCTGCGTCCTCTGGGCTAAACACCACCCAGCTTGATGTCAGCACACAGTTGAAAAGCCAGCGTCCATGATGGTATGGGGGGGTTGGGTGCATTAGGGCACATGGCATGGGTGACTAATTCTGAACGATGTATACAGGTTTTTGAGTAACATATCCATCTAGATTGCATCTTTTTCAGTGAAGTCCTTGCTTATATTAGCAAGACAATGTCAAACCACATTCTGCATGTATTACAACAGTTTAGCCCATAAAAGTATATCAGTATAGCTAGACCTCTCACTCATGAAAAAATGTTGGAATTCCCCTTTGAGAATGCTGTTTCCAGGTAAAAACAGTCTGTTTCCAGGTAAAAACTGGGAATAAAATCTGAACGATTTAGAGAAAACCACTGAAAGTTGAAGAATGGTTTTATTGAATTAAAAGATACTGTGAGTTAACAGCAGTAAATCAGTGAAGGTGTGCTGTGTCAGCTGTCAGATGGTGGAATGTTTGTGTGAAGGACAAACTACGAGTAAAGCAGCTCTGTATAAAGGATAGACTCGGTTTATCCTTCACAGGTGCTGTAATGCTTAAGCTGTTTTGTAGATAGTGAAATGCATCAGCTATGTGAGTTTATCTGGCCTTATTCGGAGCGATTCTCTCTCACTCTCTCTCTCTCTCTCTCTCTCTCTCTACTTTCTCTCTCCCTCTCTGTCTTTTCTCTCTCTCTCTCTCTCTCTCTCTCTCTCTCTCGCTCAGGAATAACCACGTGGGAAACCAGGAAGTGGAAGCAATTTTCCCATAATGCACTGCGCACAACAGTTTGACTTTATATCAATGTTATATCTGTTTATATGGTTTAACAAATGTAATTAGTGATTATTACATAGTTATTACGGTGTTTTGGGTGAACTGTAGTGTGTTGGTGGGGGTCACTGTGTGTCTGCCGTAACTGTGAGTTGTGCTGCTGTCAGTGAGGCGCTGAGCCGCCCGCTCTCAGCTTCAGTTCACTCTTGTTTCTCTTCAGATCGTATAAATCTTTCGCCTTTTACTAAAGATTTCCGTGGGGAGGAACATTATGAGTATCAACTAATTTTTTGATGCCCTGCTTCAGTGCGGGGCTTCCTACACTGGTGAAAAATAGAACAAACTGATTCAAAAAGTTCAATCTGTACGTGGACTTGTTCAGAGATTACTAATTGTACAGTAGTGCATGTAGTTGTATTTGTTGACGCAGAGATGTTAAACTCAACAATGAAAGGGGCCAAATTAAAAATTCTCCCCAAATCTGTGGGCCGGAGACACAGTGTTTATTTATATGTATAGTTTTTAATCAGTGTCGTATTAAAACCCGAGCAGGCCACTGTTTATTCAAAATACGAAAAACCTTCAGCAGTAAAATACAGACACTTAGCAGCAGTAGATGTTAAAATATTACATGAATACTTAAAATTTTCAAAATTTAAATGCCCCCATGTCTTTTAAACCTACCTATCTGCTTGAATTAGACACCTGGCCTTCTTTTTTGCTGCAAGTTCCTTCATTTCTGACGTTAGGTGTTTATGTTGGCTGCAGCTGAGATATGACTGGTGTGGAGCTGTAACCGCTGCCCCATACATTGTTGTTGGGGTAGGAGAGTCACAGCGCACATTACATTGCAGTGCATGCTGGGTACTGTAGTGCAGCACATTGTGAAACGGTCTACTGTTAATAGAAAATGAAAACACTTTTGCGGGCCGGATTGGACTGTGTCGCGGGCCTGATCTGTGTTTGATACACGGGTGTTAGACTGTGGATGTGCTTTCTGTACACAGTCAGCTCTGTCCGCTCTGAGGTGAAGCCACATCAGCCCTCCCTACACTGTCTTATAACGGCAGTAATGAGTTTTGAGGCAGTGTTTCAGAGAGAGGTTAGCGCCTCATCCTCGTTAGTATAGTGGACAGTATCTCCGCCTGTCACGCGGAAGACCGGGGTTCGATTCCCCGACGGGGAGAGTCAAATCACTTTTCTTCAGTTTTATCAACTTAAATCTTCAAGTTTTTCATTGGCAACAAACACGCTGAGAGACTCTGACCCGTGTCTGTGACGGGCCGTAATAACGGAGTGTCCGCTTCTCACCAACCTCACAAACTTCTGTTCACTCAGCCTGAGAAGCAGAGGCATTTAATTCGACTCGCCTCTGGGGGGCGCTAAGCAACTCCGTTTAAACACAGAGTCAACTTTATTCTTCTTTGAACACAGAAACACAAACTGGGATTAACTTTTATCAACATATTTGCTTCTATCAAATACAAGCTTGGGGCAAGTAAATGGCAAAAAAATAGGAATATCATTTTCTTATTTTTGTCTGATTTAATGGCTGTGAATCTGCAACCTTTCAGTTAGATTTTCTTTCAATTCAGCGTAGCAAAAAGAAAATATTACTAAATACTCATTATGCATCTAAGGTTTTCTTTCTGTGGCCTACATTTAGATTTTTTTCCATGCCCATCATGCATGATGCATCCATTAGCTTATATGAATTTGGGCGTAACCTACACATAAGACTTGATACTTGTGCATTAAAATAATAATAAAAATGACTGCAGAAGCTCATGTAAAAGTCAGATTATGACATTTTATGTATTGACGCAGACAAATGATTTTTTCACTCCTACTTATTACTAAGTACAGGCTGTAAATTTAAGCCTTAATCTGAGCTCAAAGGCCTTTGAGTGGGGAAAAAGGGGATTTAATTAAATAATTAAATAGTTAATTAAATAATCCAGTACACAGTAGAAGTGAGTAATAGTAAACCTTGACAGTGCTAAATTCTTAACATACTGTAAAAATATTTACTGTTGGGGC